AAATCACTCCCCTTGTCTGCTGCCTCGGCTTCCCGAATGTCAACCGCATACACGTCAGCTCCTGCCGCTACGGCGCGTTTCATCGTGATCGCGTTGACACGTACCGATGAAGACTCAAGCGAGCCCAAGCGAGGTAAGGCGATGTTGTTACCGTTCACTCGCACGGTGCAGTCACCCGTCGTCCAGTCGATTCGCGGGTTGTGTCGTCGCAGCCAATCACGGCCGAGTAAAGTGTCGGTTACGTCGAGGGTTGTCGCGAGCATTTCCTGGCTAAACGTGAAGTTACCCCCGCATCAAATCCGGACTCGGTCGACGCGTTCCCGTATCGCCAGTGGCGTGCCGTCAATGAGTCGTGCATCGATCTCAGGTAGACATCTGTTCAGTGGCAGTTTCAGTTTCCGTGTTGTGGTAGTGTTGATGAGGCTGTGGCTGCCCCCCCCCCCCGTCTATGAAGATTTTAACTAAATCCGTCCCGATCTTCCCACGAAGCAGTATGGGGCTATCTACCGCGGTACCCTCCTTATTTGGCCGGGTATGGTCGATTGTGTGAACTGGCACAATCACTCGGTGAGGGTCGGTTGGGTTGGGCGAGCGGCGTGACCTGTCAGTAGAGGGCCCGTCTGCTATTGACTCCCAGCGTTTCCCTGTTGCTTGGCCTGTTTCTGCTGCTCAGCTTCCCCCTTTCCCTTAGCGTTTTCCGAGCATTCGCTTTTGCGGTGTCCCGGCCGATTGCACGCGAAGCAGCGCCCTTTAAACGGTGCGGTTGCGGCATTCGCGGCGATGGCTCGTATCTTAGCACCTTCGTTCGTCCCAAGAGACCGATGTCCCCAGTTGCTGCTACTTCCGTAGGACCCCGGTCTCGGTCGGCGGAAATAGTCGAGCTTCTCCGCCATAGCGAGAATCTCCTGAAAATTGGTGACGCCGCGGAGCTGGATTTCCTGGGCGATTTCGTGCTTCCGGCCGCCGATGTAGCGGTCGATGCGCTCGCTTTCATGCATGTAGCCCACCTGCTCACACAGCGCCAGAAACCCGCTGGTGTAGTCCTGGACGGAACCGAGCTGGCGCCAAGTGCGGAGCTTCTGACGCGCCGCGATCGAAGCCACAATTGGCTAAAATCGGGCACGCAGACATGCGCACCACACGTCCCACGTGCGATATTGGGGCACCTCTACGAAATACGACGGAGCCCAGGGTCTGGTTTGTCCTTCCCGTGTCGATAGAGTTGTGTAGTCCATCGGCTTCGTAACGATGATACGCCACCAGTCCATGGCAGGTCCTCGCAGCAGCGACACGGCATAGCGAATCTTCGCCGTATCCTCCGAGACGTAGTTGGCGTCGAAGAAAATGTTCATCGTGAACAACCACGCCTGAACAGTAGGACCACCCCGTTGACTCGGGTCAAAGCTGGCGGACGCTGCGGCTTCAGCGGCATCGGCGACTACAGTGTTGACTCGCCGGTCGGCACCGTATTCGTGACGCGGGGTTGGCTTCTGGCCGCATTCGTCACTTCGGGGTGTGTCGCACCGTGGTCGTCATCTCCGTCGTTGCGGACGACGCCATCACTGACCGCGCTCGCGGGTTGCCCCAGACTTCCGTGCTGTGATGCTTGTTGTGCGGGTTGTCTTGGTGTGCCTTGTGCTTGCGATTGTGTTTGTTGTGCTCGTGCGACGTCATTTTGCAGGGACGTGCGTTCTGCCGCCAGCGCTGCGATTTCTTCATAGCTTTCGGAGTTGATGCAGCAGTGTGTCCAGACGCTCCTGCGTGAGGCTCGTGACATCAATGTGCTCAGCCATGTCGAAGGGCGTCGGCTCAGCTTAGTTCTAGGCGCAGTCGTGGCTGCACGCGTTTACGAGAGAACGCGAGGACAACGGCTCCTAGGGGTTAAGGGGCGTGAGTCCCTTCGAGTGAAAAAACAAAAGTTGATTTCCTGGGGTGCGGAGATGCGCGGTCCGAAAAGGAAAGTGGCTCTGAATACCAAGTGTTACGGGTGCAATGGAACGAAGTAGCGAGGATTGCACTAGAGTGTCAAAAGAGTACAAAGTATGAGCGAAGGCATGAGCGGAACATGCAAACGGTAACGCGGTGCGTGCGAGCAAGCTAGTGCTACGCTAGCAGCGAGGCTCGGGCTAGTCCCGAAGCGTAGGCCGACTCGGTTGGGCCAGCAGTGCGAGGTTTGGTGAAACAGTGCGCGCGAAGTTGGCGAAGCCCCGTTAGCCGTAACGGGCGAACAACGGCTGCTGCTGTACGCGATGTTGACGGCTGCGGTAAGGAATGTCAAGAAAATTCCTTGCAAAAGCTCTGAATTTCCCGAATACCGAAACCGCATCACTTCTTCTGCACTCCCAAACGCGCACAATACAGGTGTCTCGTCCCTCTCACCCCGAGCCAAGATATTGCCACCATCATCGTCACCATCTAGGTTCGTCACCAGCAGCAGTACCTAGCTTGGTCTACTGCCATACCTGTAACTCATGGAACAATTTTATGTGAGCTGTCACTAACTATGAGAATGGCGAATAGCGAATAGACCCCACTAGCACACTCTACTCGCTCTCCCTTGGTGTGGGTGGCTTCTCGCACGTCCTCTCGCATCGCGGCCTGTTACCTTTTTTCATAAATTTTGTGACTGCTCTCCAGCTTTCGTGAATTTTGACTCCCGCTTTCAGTCTTCCAATTTGAAGTTCTCTGATTCTAAAAACCGTCGGTTTGCCGGGATAGTTTGCCTTTGAGACGTCTCAAAACGGGTCAGTTTTCCAGAACACTTTCAATGATTGCGACGCTTTAGGGTTCCGTCTGTCGCTGCGTTTTTCCGAACGTCGCAGCGGGCGTTAGCTTTCGATAGTAACATTTCTTCAGTTGCTGCTGTCGTCGTAACGAGCGTTCGCCGCGAGTCACGAGCACCAGAGACCATCCCCTTCTTAGCTAGCTTTCGTCACATTTCGCCGGAGTTTCGCCAGCCGTCGCGATGGCGGGTAGTACGGACCTGACGAAGCAGGTAGAGGCATTGCTGGAAGATCCGTCGCAGACGATTCTCATGGCGATGAAACTCTCCAAGAACCAGGCGTCGTGGACCGTCGCCGGGCGACGCGGGCGACTGCAGAGCAAACCGCGTATCCTCGCAATTGGCGGTGAGCTATGTCGTGTACTGCAGTTGCTGGCACAATAGTTTAGGTCATTTTAGGTTAGTTGTGTGCAGTCATTGCTGGTACGGACGAGGCTGACTATCAATGTCCCAGAATGATGATTTCCCCTCTTTGGTCATCGCTGATACATATTGATGATAAAAAAAATCGAAGCTTTACGTTGGGTTAAAGCGACGGGCAACTTTTGGCAGTGTTGGGTTCAGAAGTTTTTTTTTTGAACCAGGCTTGCCAGCGCGAAAGTGCTGGCTGGCGAAAACCAGGATTTCGTGCGGACACTTTCCATCCGCAGTAACAGTTCGCCAGGGTTCTGGGTTTTGGGTGGCAAATGTGCACCGTCGTTTTAAGCCACGAGTATGGCATGTAGTACTGTACTGCCATCAATGTTCCGGCATTAGGCATGGCATTAAAGGCATTGACGATAGGCCATGGATGCACAGTCCCGTCATTGAACTCACTTACGATCGCACTGACTCTCGGTCGTTTTATGTACTGTTGTCAACCCATATCAGTGTAGATGCTTCATAAGTTATACAATATGAATGTTTCCCAATTCCACTGGCAGTGAGGCGCAAGGAGAATACGGGAAAGCAGAAGCCAAAAATCCACATCATCAAGCCCGGACCACAAGGACTAGAGGTCTGTTGTGTGTGTGTGTGTGTGTGTGTGTGTGTGTGTGTGTGTGTGTGCGCGCGCGCGCGTGTGTGTTTCTTTTCTTCACCTCCTGAACGTGGTAACAATTTGCCAATCTTGACAAATCTCTTCCGAGCCTTCCAGTCTTAGCATTTCCTACTCACCCTATTTTCTCTGCGTATGCTGTCGTGATCCGCAGCTGTCTCAGCCCTCACCTCGCCTCACTCATTTTCTTCCCAGCGCCTTTTATCCTGCTGCACTCATCCCCACTCACTATCCCGCTGCACTCCTGCCAACTTTTGATAAACATTTCCCCCCTCTCCCCCTCCCCCACCCCACGCGCTCTCCGCCTCCTCCCGTGCCCCTCATGCGCCTCCGTCCATTTTCCCCTCCAGCTGCTTAAGTCATACCGACTGGGTGCCCTGACGAGCATTGAGTTAGTCACCAGTGACACCACAGGCCGCTCCTTTCTCCTGGTAGGCTCCCGCCCTCACGAGCTACTCACTAATTACTCACTCACTCACTGACTCACTCTCGAGCATTAAGCCGGTTCTCATTTGTGCGTCTCGGAAGAGCACACATCCTTACATGACATCTCATCTCATCTCATCATCTTCCTTCACCTGTGACTTTTTCTTCCGTCTCTCCGCCAATGGCGTGCTGCCAGGTGTTTGACGAGAAAACGGACAGCTCACAGCCTCAATGGACCACAAGGACAGTCGATGACAGGTGTGCCCTCTCTCACACACGCACATGCATGCATGCATGCACACACGCATGTATGCACACACGCATGTATGCACACACGCATGTATGCACACACGCACTTGATAGTTGCCTCAATGGACTAACAGGCCAGCTCACAGCCTTAACGAACCACAAGGACAGTCGATGACAGGTGTGCCCTCTCGGTCCCTCGCACACATGCACGCTCACATGCCTGCACATGCACGTGCACGCACACATGCATGCATGCTTGAATACATGCACACACACGCGCATGCATGCAAGCCCGAGACTGAAAAATCTGCTCACGTGGTCCCCGTTGCCGCCCTCTATCCCCAACCTGTAGGAAGCAGCTCGTGTTTCTGCTGCTCAAGATGTGCAAGGACTACCTCATGAGGTTTCTGATGCGCCTCTTACCCTCACATCCCCTCTCTTCTTTTCCTGCGCCTGACCTGACCTGACTCCAACCGCAGGAACCAGCTCGTGTTTCTGCTACTCAAGATGTGCAAGGACTACCTGAAAACGCTGCCCAAAGTCATTGGGCTCGACGTGGTCGACCTTGCCCTCTGGGCCAAGGTGGGATGGGGTGGGGTGGGGTGCGGTGGCGTGGGGTGTGGTGTGGTGGGGTGCGATTCGTGTGCGGTAAACTGGTGATTTTTCTGGGATAGACTGCTTGCACCTCACGACGAGCGAGGAAGAACTAACCCCACATCCCCACTCCCCACCCCTTGCTGTGCAGAAAAACGCCTAGTCATTGCCAGCCAGGGGGAGCGAGGCTGATGGAGGAGGGCGAGGGCGAGATTATGGAACCATTTGTGATCGGCTTTCACTGTTTTCTACCCCTCCCCAACCCCCATCCCCTGCCGTGCAGAAAAACGCTAAATCGTTGCCGGGAGGAGCGCGGCTGACGGAGGAAGGGGAGGGCGAGGCGGTGGGGGTGGAGAGCGAGTCGATGATGGCGCAGGACAGCCTGGTGTCGAAGGTGGAGGAGGAGGACATGGAGGCGCTGCTGGGCACGTGAGTGCGGTTCAGTGCGGTGAGAGCAGGTTCAGTGTGGTGAAAGCCGGTTTAGTGCAGTGGGAGCAGGTTCAGTGCGGTGAGATCAGGTTCAAGGTAAGAGGGGAGGGCGAGGCGGTGGGGGTGGAGAGCGAGTCGATGATGGCGCAGGACAGCCTGGTGTCCAAGGTGGATGAGGAGGACATGGAGGCGCTGCTGGGCACGTGAGTGCGGTTCAGTGCGGTGAAAGCCGGTTTAGTGCGGTGACAGCTGGTTCAGTGCGGTGGGAGCAGGTTCAGTGCGGTGAGAGCAGGTACAGGGTGAGTGGGAGGGGAGGGCGAGGCGGTGGGGTTGGAGAGTGAGTCGATGATGGCGCAGGACAGCCTGGTGTTCAAGGTGGAGGAGGAGGACATGGAGGCGCTGCTGGGCACGTGAGTGCGGTGACAGCCGGTTCAGTGTGGTGAGAGCAGATTGAGTGCGGTGAGAGCAGGTTGAGTGCGTAAAAAGCAGGTGCAGTGTTGTGAGAGCAGCTTCGGTCCGGTGATAGCAAGCAGGCTCAGTACGGTGAGAGCAGACTCAGTGCGTCTATTCCAGTTCGCGTTGCCTGACTTGACATCGATCCGTGTATAATTTTTGTACCCCCACCTCTTCCCTCCTCCCCAGCTATGTGATTGGCATTGACGAGGCAGAGGCGTTCAGTGAGCGGCTGAAGAGGGAGCTGGGGGCGCTGGAGGCGGCTAATGTGCATGCCATTCTGGAGAGCGAAGCACTGGTGGAGGAGGTGAGAGTGACTAGAGGGAATGGTGATTGTAGACAGAGAGGTGGTGGTAGTGGGTGGAAGGGGAGGAGCTTGGGGCAGTGGAGGCGGTTAACGTGCGTGCCATTGTAGATGGCAAAAAGAATCTTATTTTGCTTCGATAGGATGTTGTGTCCAATGGCCAACAACCTAGTTTGTTGAATGCATGCTCGAAGCAGATGCCGCTCTTGAATTGGACCATCATGCTGAGGTGCTGTGCTGTGCTGCTGTGTGCCGCCGCACTGTGTGTGTATGGTCATGCTGACGTGGCACTGGCAGGTGGTTGACAGCCTGGACGAGGCGGCGGGGCGAGTGGAGGACATGGAGAACTGGCTGAACGTGTTCAACGTGAAGCTGAAGCACATGCGTGATGATATCGAGTCGGTGAGTGGATGCATAGTTGACTAAGAGTGGATGGTTGATGTTGGTGCAAGTCTGATGGCCGATGGGGAGTGGATGGAGCGGGCTTGAAAGAGGGCGAGTGGAGGACATGGTGAACTGGCTCAACGTGTTCATTGTGAAGCTGAAGCACATGCGCGATGATATCGAGTCGGTGAGTGCAACCTTATGGGAAGTATATGGTTGCTGATGATGGTGGGTGCATGCATGACTGATGCAAGCAAAGAACAAGAAGCTGCTAGAGGAGCTAGAAATGTTCCTGAAATCGCTCCACATCCCCCCCCCAGCCCAGTGCATCCGCGTGCTCTCCTCGGTCTCGCTGGACGAGCCCGCCATGCCCAACCCAACACTCTCTTCTCTTCTGAAGTGGTGAACATTCTCATCCGCTCTACCCCTCCTCCCCCCTTTCCTCCTCAACCCACGACCAGATCGAAGCGCAGAACAACATGTTAGAGATGCAGGCGAAGAACAACAAGAAGCTTGAGACGCTGCTAGAGTCGCTCTACATCCTGCCGCAGTGCATCCGCGTGCTCTCCTCGGGCTCTCTGGACGAGCCCGCCATGCCCAACACCCTCTTCCCTCTGACCGGCCTCACAACTCACTTCCGCACCCCGTTTCCTCCTCCCCACACCGTTTTCCCCCGCCGTCCTCCCCTCCTCCCGCCCCCTCCCCCTTCACCCCCCCATCAGATCGAGGCGCAGAACAACATGTTAGAGATGCAGGCGAAGAATAACAAGAAGCTCTTAGAGGAGCTCGAGACGCTGCTAGAGTCGCTCTACATCCCCCCCCAGTGCATCCGCGTGCTCTCCTCGGGCTCTCTGGACGAGCAAGCCATGCCCAACACTCTCGAGGCCGTGGGGTGGCTGGTGGACGCTGTGAAGAAGCTTGAGCCTCCGCAGCTGGACCAGAACTACGTCAACATGCGCGCGGTAGGGTTATGGATAGGGCAATGGCAGGCTAATACATGCGTTTATGCATGCATATGTGTATGTATGCATGCATATGTGTATGTATGCATGCACGTGTAGAGTGCATCCGCATGCTCTCCTCGGGCTCTCTGGACTGGACGAGCAAGCCATGCCCAACGCGCTCGAGGCCGTGGGGTGGCTGGTGGACGCGGTCAAGAAACTGGAGCCTCTGCAGCTGGACCAGAACTACGTCAACATGCGCGCGGTAGGGTTATGGGCAGGGATACATGCGTGTACACATGTGTTGATGTGTGTATTTACACGCTCGAGGCCGTGGGGTGGCTGGTAGACTCGGTCAAGAAACTGGAGCCTCTGCAGCTGGACCAGAACTACGTCAACATGCGCGCAGGCTTGCTGCGTTTCGAACCCATCGAATTTCAACTGTGGCATACGTTCATGCATGTATGCATGCATGCATATCCAAATCAATATCTTCACGTGTACACCCCCCTTGCCTTGCCTCTCGTCTCTCCTCCCATGCCACCAGGTAGGAATGAGCATGGAAACGAACACACGTTCGAGGCGAACCGAACATGATTTTTTTTTGGCTAAAAATGTTCGGGGCGAACGTGTTCAATGTTCGCCCGAACACGTTCGGTGTTCGCCCCGCTACTGCTGCCGAGCCGCGTCGAACACGAACGCGTTCGTGTTCGTTTCGGGGCAAAAACGAACACGAATGTGTTCGACGCGACTGTCCCGCGATCTACAATTTACGTTGCGGGACATTCTGTTTGAGCTCAAATTTGAGCTCAAACTTAGTCGCGCTATTCAGCAGCAGCCATTACTACCACGCCCCCCACACATCACGCCGTTATCACCTCATTAGGACTTCGCGTAATTAAGTAGTTACCTTAGGTTAGTCTGTCTAGACTTGGGTATGCGAGATTTAGGTTTTCGGGAAAAGATTAGATAGGGATACCGCAGAATCTCGTAAGTTGAGGGTTGATGGTAAGCATTCGCAAATTTCGTATGCATGGGATTGAGAGGAATAGCGTTCGCATATTTCGTGAGTTGGGGGGTTGTGGGGGGTTGGCGAGCAATCGCAAATTTCGTAGATATAGAACGGGGAGAGCATTTCGCCTTACGTGGGGGGAAATGCAGGTGGCGAGCTGGATAAAAAAAACTATGGATCCGTAACTAGATCTCGCAAAATGCTGATCCGGCCCAATTTCCCGCAATTCCCCTGCCCGCCGTTGCGTATTTCGAGCGTAACAAAGGATGCCCAGGGGCGAACACATCCAACACGTTCGTGTTCGCCTTAGCATGCAAGATGTTCGCCCTCACAGGCGAACATCGAACACCCTTTTTTGTCAAAGGTGTTCGGCGAACCGAACACTGTTCGGTTCGCCGAACGGCAGTGTTCGAGCTGGGGCGAATGCGAACACGTTCGTGTTCGCCCCTTGCTCATCCCTACCACCAGGTGCGCGAGAAGAAGCTGGACAGCTTGAAAAGCGTCTTCATGCAGCAAGCCGCTGATTTCAAGTTCCGTTTCTCTTGACATGTCACCCCCCCCAACCCAACCCCTGCCTCTCCCCCTCCTCTTACCCCCCCCTCCCACCCTTCCTCCTTTCCAGGTGCGGGAGAAGAAGGCGGAGCTAGACAGCTTGAAGAACGGCTTTGTGCGGCGGGCCACTGGAATCAGTATCTCTTCATGTGTCCTCGTCCTCCCCCTTTCCCCCTTCCCCCGCCTCTCATGCTGGCAGGTGCAAGAGAAGAAGGCGGAGCTGGACAGTCTAAAGAACGGCTTTGTGCGGCGGGCCACTGATTTCAGTGTCTCTTCACGTGTCCCCACCCTTACGCTCCTCCCCACCCTCTCCCTGCCTCTCACACCACCAGGTGCGGGAGAAGAAGGCGGAGCTGGACAGTCTAAAGAATGGTTTTGTGCGGCGGGCCACTGATTTCATCCGCTCCTTCATCTCCTCCACCGTGGAGGCTGCTGCGGTACAGGATAAGGGGGCAGAGGGATAGAGGTGACTGGCTGGGGGTATGCATGTGGCAGCATGCATGCATGTGCCTGGCCACGGTTTTCATCCGCTCCTTCATCTCCTCCACCGTGGAGGCTGCTGCAGTATGACTGTGATGTGAGGGATAGGGGTGAATGCCTGCCTTGGTGCCATCCACCATACCTGCCTTCCATCATAGCCACTTTTATTGTCCTCTGATTTCTCCATACGCCTTCTCTCATCGTTATCCTATCCACCCCAATGTTTGATGTCATGTGTCGTGTCTATAAAGAGAAGATTCATCCTGTTACTGTACCATTCCTGCCTGTCCGTCCTTCTTGCTGCCAATGTGACTATACGGGGAGCAGAAGTCTCAGAGGGGCCCGCCCGACCATAGGGAGCTGCACCGCAGATGGTCCGCCTACACCCAGCTCATCCACTGCCTCAAGGTGACTATATGAATGTGACTATAACGAGGTGCGTGGCTGTAACGAGGGCAATCAGCGTGACTATATGGGGGGCAGAAGTCTCAGACGGGATCTCCTGAGTCTTGACCATCGGGAGGTGCACTGCAGATGGTCCGCCTACACCCAGCCAGCTCATCCACTGCCTCAAGGTGATTATAACGAGGGCAATCAAGGTGACTAAAACGAGGGCAATCAAGGTGACTAAAACTATTCGAGGTGAAGCTGCTGAAGGTGATTATGGCTAGTTGCTGCAATCGACTGTAACGAGGGGCACGCGTGCCTATGGTGAAATGCACGTGGCTTTAACGAGGAGAGAGGTCAGAACTTGCTTTCTCTGTCTTCCCTGCTCCTCATCATTTGTGGTCACATCACATGTGTGCGTCGAGATGTCTCTAACCAAACCACCTCTCCCTCCCCCAACCCCGCCCTCCCCTTTGCCCATCGTCCTGTCTTCCCCAGGAGCTGGACCCGAATGTATTGGACAATAGTAAACGGACATACATTCACTCACTCAACATGCATGCTGCTCACCCCAGGTGCTCGAGCAAAGACCCGCCAGGGTGCTGAGATGCTCCACCAAGCCCCCTTTCTCTCTTCCCCCCTCCCCTCCTTTTTCCGTCTCCTTCTTCCCAGGAGCTGGACCCCAACGTGTTGGACAGCATTCGCCGGACGTACATTCATTCACTCAACATGTTGCTCGCCCCAGGAGCTAGAGCGTAGACCCCCCAGGGTGCTTAGAGATGTCTCAACTTCCCGTACTCTCCCTCCTACTTCCTCCTCCTCAGGAGCTGGACCCCAACGTGCTGGACAACATTCGCCGGACCTACATTCATTCACTCAACATGTTGCTCCGGCGCGAGGTGAGGTGCTGGTGGCTTGTCCTAAGCGGATGCCTGATGATGTTGTGATGAGATGGTAATGTCTCTCTCAACCAGACCAGACATACAATCACTCGGTCCGTATGCTGTCCTGGCTTCCGCGTGCTAACTGTTGCCTTACGTTACCCCCCTCCCTGCCCATCTCTCAGGCTCGTGAGTTCTCCACGGATCTTCGTACATCAGCACGAGTCTCAGCCAAGACCAGCACGGCCCCTCCTTTCCTCGAGCAAGGCAGCACTGCCCTGCCGCCTGCTGCTGACTCCCAGGCTGCCAGCGACGCCTTCGCCAAGATGCTGCGCGCATTCCTGCCGCTGATTTCTGAAGAGGTGTGTCACTGCGTGACTGTTTCGAGTTGGGTGAAGGGAATGTGAGTGTGGAGAGTGTGACTGTGACGAGCAAGGCAGTGCTGCCCTGCCGCCTGCTGCTGACTCCCAGGCTGCCAGCGACGCCTTTGCCAAGATGCTGCGGGTGTTCCTGCCCTTACGATTTCTGAAGAGGTGGGTTTATATTTTATGGGTGTTTGTGCATCTAGTGCCCTGCCGCCTGCTGCTGACTCGCAGGCTGCCAGCGACGCATTCGGCAAGATGCTCCGCGTGTTCCTGCCACTTATCTCAGAAGAGGTGGGTTGACTGCGTGATTGTATCAAGTTCAGTGAAGGGACTGTGAGTGTGGAGAGTGTGACTGTGGCGAGGCGAGCAGGGCAGTGCTGCCCTGCCGCCTGCTGCTGACTCCCAGGCTGCCAGCGATGCCTTTGCCAAGATGCTCCGCGCGTTCCTGCCCTTGATTTCTGAAGAGGTGAGTTTGTTAGGGATGTTTATGCATCTAGTGCCCTGCCGCCCACTGCTGACTCCCAGGCTGCAAGTAACGCATTTGCCAAGTTGCTGCGCGCATTCCTGCCGCTTATCTCTGAATAGGCATTTTTTTCTGAGTCTTGTGAGTCTTTTTTTTCTCTGAGTCTTGTGAGTCTTGTGAGTCTTGTGCCCTGCTACAAAGGTCTCTTCTTCCTGCAGTTCCATCCATTGCTTGTCACCAACATTTTTTTTACACTTCTCTCTCCCTCCTCATTGTTCTATCCCTGCGACAGGGTCTCTTCTTCCAGCAGTTCCTCTGCTTTTCCCCAGCAGCAGACGAGGATGAAGAGCCTCTATGTGAGTGTGCTTGACCGTGCCTGTAAAGGTGTTCCGAGGTTTGGGACGCCTCTAAACTTTTCTCCTGGGTTCGTTCGAACAGGGTCTCTTCTTCCAGCAGTTCCTCTGCTTTTCCCCAGCAGCAGACGAGGATGAAGAGCCCTTGTGTGAGTGAGCTTTACTTGACCGTGCCTGTATAGGTGCCCGTGCGGCCGTGCCCCATGTGCTTTACTGTGTGCTTGCACATGCGTGCACGCATGCCTGCCTGTGAGCTTGTGAGCTCATGCTTAGAACAAACCATGAGACAGAGCTCATGCACTCACTGTCTCACAACCTCCTGCTCCGTCCCCTCTTTCCTCCTCTTCCCCGTCCCCCACTGTCCAACCACCACTCCCCCTCCCTCCTCCCCCCTCCCGTCCTCCCCTCCTCCCCTCCCCTGTCCAGCGGACGAGGATGTGGCAGCACTAGCAGCAGCAGCGGAGCAGCTATTCGAAGGCATTCACCCCCACTCCCCATTGTCTACTCCCTCCCTGTTACCATTCCCTTCCCTCAGCGGACGAGGATGCAGCGCCGTTGGCAGCAGCAGCGGAGCAGCTATTTGAAGGAATTCATGAGGACTTTGTGGCCATGGTGGAGTGGGTGTTCAAGGTGGACCCTCTGCGCTGCATCACCCTGTCCTTTCCTCCCACGCACTCACTCACTCACTCACTCACTCACTGTCTCAGAAAACCCCAGCTCCACCTTCTCCCCTCTTTCCTCATCTTCCCCTTTCCCCCACTCCCTCCCCTCCCTCCTGTCCCTTCCAACAGCGGACGAGGATGCGGCAGCACTAGCAGCAGCAGCAGAGCAGCTATTCGAGGGCATTCACGAGGACTTTGTGGCCATGGTGGAGTGGGTGTTCAAGGTGGACCCTCTGCGCTGCATCACCCTGTCCTTTCCTCCCACGCACTCACTCACTCACTCACTCACTCACTCACTGTCTCAGAAAACCCCAGCTCCACCTTCTCCCCTCTTTCCTCATCTTCCCCTTTCCCCCATTCCCTCCCCTCCCTCCTGTCCCTTCCAACAGCGGACGAGGATGCGGCAGCACTAGCAGGAGCAGCAGAGCAGCTATTCGAGGGCATTCACGAGGACTTTGTGGCCATGGTGGAGTGGGTGTTCAAGGTGGACCCTCTTTCCCCCACTCCCCCCACTCCCTCCTCTCCCTCCTGTCCCCTCCAGCGGACGAGGATGCAGCGGCTCTGGCGGCAGCAGCGGAGCAGCTATTCGAGGGAATTCACGAAGACTTTGTGGCCATGGTGGAGTGGGTGTTCAAGGTGGACCCTCTGCGCTGCATCACTCTCGTGGGGCACACGGAGGCGTGGCAGCAGCAGCAGCAGCAGCTGCAGTTGCAGCATGGGGCCGACGCAGGGGGGTGCGGTGCGGTTATCACCAGGAAGCTTCTACTCGAGCTGGAGACCAGAATCAGGCAGAATTTCTTCCGGGTAAGTGGGCGGAATGAGGGATGCTTGGAGCTGCGGATTCAGGTTTTGGGTAGTGCGAGTCAGTGCTGTCCTACGTGCCTCTATTTGCTTGTTAACACGGCCAGTTCTCCCCTGTCCTACGTGCCTCTATTTGCTTGTTAACACGGCCAGTTCTCCCCTGTCCTACGTGCCTCTATTTGCTTGTTAACACGGCCAGTTCTCCCCTGTCCTACGTGCCTCTATTTGCTTGTTAACACGGCCAGTTCTCCCCTGTCCTACGTGCCTCTATTCGCTTGTTAACACGGCCAGTTCTCCCCTGTCCTACGTGCCTCTATTTGCTTGTTAACACGGCCAGTTCTCCCCTGTCCTACGTGCCTCTATTTGCTTGTTAACACGGCCAGTTCTCCCCTGTCCTACGTGCCTCTATTTGCTTGTTAACACGGCCAGTTCTCCCCTGTCCTACGTGCCTCTATTTGCTTGTTAACACGGCCAGTTCTCCCCTGTCCTACGTGCCTCTATTTGCTTGTTAACACGGCCAGTTCTCCCCTGTCCTACGTGCCTCTATTCGCTTGTTAACACGGCCAGTTCTCCCCTGTCCTACGTGCCTCTATTCGCTTGTTAACACGGCCAGTTCTCCCCTGTCCTACGTGCCTCTATTCGCTTGTTAACACGGCCAGTTCTCCCCTGTCCTACGTGCCTCTATTTGCTTGTTAACACGGCCAGTTCTCCCCTGTCCTACGTGCCTCTATTCGCTTGTTAACACGGCCAGTTCTCCCCTGTCCTACGTGCCTCTATTCGCTTGTTAACACGGCCAGTTCTCCCCTGTCCTACGTGCCTCTATTTGCTTGTTAACACGGCCAGTTCTCCCCTGTCCTACGTGCCTCTATTCGCTTGTTAACACGGCCAGTTCTCCCCTGTCCTACGTGCCTCTATTCGCTTGTTAACACGGCCAGTTCTCCCCTGTCCTACGTGCCTCTATTCGCTTGTTAACACGGCCAGTTCTCCCCTGTCCTACGTGCCTCTATTCGCTTGTTAACACGGCCAGTTCTCCCCTGTCCTACGTGCCTCTATTTGCTTGTTAACACGGCCAGTTCTCCCCTGTCCTACGTGCCTCTATTTGCTTGTTAACACGGCCAGTTCTCCCCTGTCCTATGTGCCTCTATTCGCTTGTTAACACGGCCAGTTCTCCCCTGTCCTATGTGCCTCTATTTGCTTGTTAACACGGCCAGTTCTCCCCTGTCCTACGTGCCTCTATTTGCTTGTTAACACGGCCAGTTCTCCCCTGTCCTACGTGCCTCTATTTGCTTGTTAGCACGGCCAGTTCTCCCCTGTCCTACGTGCCTCTTTTCGCTTGTTAACACGGCCAGTTCTCCCCTGTCTTACGTGCCTCTATTTGCTTGTTAACACGGCCAGTTCTCCCCTGTCCTACGTGCCTCTATTTGCTTGTTAACACGGCCAGTTCTCCCCTGTCCTACGTGCCTCTATTTGCTTGTTAACACGGCCAGTTCTCCGCTGTCCTACGTGCCTCTATTTGCTTGTTAACACGGCCAGTTCTCCCCTGTCCTACGTGCCTCTATTTGCTTGTTAACACGGCCAGTTCTCCCCTGTCCTACGTGCCTCTATTCGCTTGTTAACACGGCCAGTTCTCCCCTGTCCTACGTGCCTCTATTTGCTTGTTAACACGGCCAGTTCTCCCCTGTCCTACGTGCCTCTATTCGCTTGTTAACACGGCCAGTTCTCCCCTGTCCTACGTGCCTCTATTTGCTTGTTAACACGGCCAGTTCTCCCCTGTCCTACGTGCCTCTATTTGCTTGTTAACACGGCCAGTTCTCCCCTGTCCTACGTGCCTCTATTTGCTTGTTAACACGGCCAGTTCTCCCCTGTCCTATGTGCCTCTATTCGCTTGTTAACACGGCCAGTTCTCCCCTGTCCTACGTGCCTCTATTTGCTTGTTAACACAGCCAGTTCTCCCCTGTCCTACGTGCCTCTATTCGCTTGTTAACACGGCCAGTTCTCCCCTGTCCTACGTGCCTCTATTTGCTTGTTAACACGGCCAGTTCTCCCCTGTCCTACGTGCCTCTATTTGCTTGTTAACACGGCCAGTTCTCCCCTGTCCTATGTGCCTCTATTCGCTTGTTAACACGGCCAGTTCTCCCCTGTCCTACGTGCCTCTATTTGCTTGTTAACACGGCCAGTTCTCCCCTGTCCTACGTGCCTCTATTTGCTTGTTAACACGGCCAGTTCTCCCCTGTCCTACGTGCCTCTATTTGCTTGTTAACACGGCCAGTTCTCCCCTGTCCTATGTGCCTCTATTTGCTTGTTAACACGGCCAGTTCTCCCCTGTCCTACGTGCCTCTATTTGCTTGTTAACACGGCCAGTTCTCCCCTGTCCTACGTGCCTCTATTTGCTTGTTAACACGGCCAGTTCTCCCCTGTCCTACGTGCCTCTATTTGCTTGTTAACACGGCCAGTTCTCCCCTGTCCTACGTGCCTCTATTCGCTTGTTAACACGGCCAGTTCTCCCCTGTCCTACGTGCCTCTATTTGCTTGTTAACACGGCCAGTTCTCCCCTGTCCTGCGTGCCTCTATTCGCTTGTTAACACGGCCAGTTCTCCCCTGTCCTACGTGCCTCTATTTGCTTGTTAACACGGCCAGTTCTCCCCTGTCCTACGTGCCTCTATTTGCTTGTTAACACGGCCAGTTCTCCCCTGTCCTACGTGCCTCTATTTGCTTGTTAACACGGCCAGTTCTCCCCTGTCCTACGTGCCTCTATTTGCTTGTTAACACGGCCAGTTCTCCCCTGTCCTACGTGCCTCTATTTGCTTGTTAACACGGCCAGTTCTCCCCTGTCCTACGTGCCTCTATTTGCTTGTTAACACGGCCAGTTCTCCCCTGTCCTACGTGCCTCTATTTGCTTGTTAACACGGCCAGTTCTCCCCTGTCCTACGTGCCTCTATTTGCTTGTTAACACGGCCAGTTCTCCCCTGTCCTACGTGCCTCTATTTGCTTGTTAACACGGCCAGTTCTCCCCTGTCCTATGTGCCTCTATTTGCTTGTTAACACGGCCAGTTCTCCCCTGTCCTACGTGCCTCTATTTGCTTGTTAACACGGCCAGTTCTCCCCTGTCCTACGTGCCTCTATTTGCTTGTTAACACGGCCAGTTCTCCCCTGTCCTACGTGCCTCTATTTGCTTGTTAACACGGCCAGTTCTCCCCTGTCCTACGTGCCTCTATTCGCTTGTTAACACGGCCAGTTCTCCCCTGTCCTACGTGCCTCTATTCGCTTGTTAACACGGCCAGTTCTCCCCTGTCCTACGTGCCTCTATTCGCTTGTTAACACGGCCAGTTCTCCCCTGTCCTACGTGCCTCTATTCGCTTGTTAACACGGCCAGTTCTCCCCTGTCCTACGTGCCTCTATTTGCTTGTTAACACGGCCAGTTCTCCCCTGTCCTACGTGCCTCTATTTGCTTGTTAACACGGCCAGTTCTCCCCTGTCCTACGTGCCTCTATTTGCTTGTTAACACGGCCAGTTCTCCCCTGTCCTACGTGCCTCTATTTGCTTGTTAACACGGCCAGTTCTCCCCTGTCCTACGTGCCTCTATTTGCTTGTTAACACGGCCAGTTCTCCCCTGTCCTACGTGCCTCTATTCGCTTGTTAACACGGCCAGTTCTCCCCTGTCCTACGTGCCTCTATTTGCTTGTTAACACGGCCAGTTCTCCCCTGTCCTATGTGCCTCTATTTGCTTGTTAACACGGCCAGTTCTCCCCTGTCCTACGTGCCTCTATTTGCTTGTTAACACGGCCAGTTCTCCCCTGTCCTACGTGCCTCTATTCGCTTGTTAACACGGCCAGTTCTCCCCTGTCCTATGTGCCTCTATTCGCTTGTTAACACGGCCAGTTCTCCCCTGTCCTACGTGCCTCTATTCGCTTGTTAACACGGCCAGTTCTCCCCTGTCCTACGTGCCTCTATTTGCTTGTTAACACGGCCAGTTCTCCCCTGTCCTACGTGCCTCTATTTGCTTGTTAACACGGCCAGTTCTCCCCTGTCCTATGTGCCTCTATTCGCTTGTTAACACGGCCAGTTCTCCCCTGTCCTATGTGCCTCTATTTGCTTGTTAACACGGCCAGTTCTCCCCTGTCCTACGTGCCTCTATTTGCTTGTTAACACGGCCAGTTCTCCCCTGTCCTACGTGCCTCTATTTGCTTGTTAGCACGGCCAGTTCTCCCCTGTCCTACGTGCCTCTTTTCGCTTGTTAACACGGCCAGTTCTCCCCTGTCTTACGTGCCTCTATTTGCTTGTTAACACGGCCAGTTCTCCCCTGTCCTACGTGCCTCTATTTGCTTGTTAACACGGCCAGTTCTCCCCTGTCCTACGTGCCTCTATTTGCTTGTTAACACGGCCAGTTCTCCGCTGTCCTACGTGCCTCTATTTGCTTGTTAACACGGCCAGTTCTCCCCTGTCCTACGTGCCTCTATTTGCTTGTTAACACGGCCAGTTCTCCCCTGTCCTACGTGCCTCTATTCGCTTGTTAACACGGCCAGTTCTCCCCTGTCCTACGTGCCTCTATTTGCTTGTTAACACGGCCAGTTCTCCCCTGTCCTACGTGCCTCTATTCGCTTGTTAACACGGCCAGTTCTCCCCTGTCCTACGTGCCTCTATTTGCTTGTTAACACGGCCAGTTCTCCCCTGTCCTACGTGCCTCTATTTGCTTGTTAACACGGCCAGTTCTCCCCTGTCCTACGTGCCTCTATTTGCTTGTTAACACGGCCAGTTCTCCCCTGTCCTATGTGCCTCTATTCGCTTGTTAACACGGCCAGTTCTCCCCTGTCCTACGTGCCTCTATTTGCTTGTTAACACAGCCAGTTCTCCCCTGTCCTACGTGCCTCTATTCGCTTGTTAACACGGCCAGTTCTCCCCTGTCCTACGTGCCTCTATTTGCTTGTTAACACGGCCAGTTCTCCCCTGTCCTACGTGCCTCTATTTGCTTGTTAACACGGCCAGTTCTCCCCTGTCCTATGTGCCTCTATTCGCTTGTTAACACGGCCAGTTCTCCCCTGTCCTACGTGCCTCTATTTGCTTGTTAACACGGCCAGTTCTCCCCTGTCCTACGTGCCTCTATTTGCTTGTTAACACGGCCAGTTCTCCCCTGTCCTACGTGCCTCTATTTGCTTGTTAACACGGCCAGTTCTCCCCTGTCCTATGTGCCTCTATTTGCTTGTTAACACGGCCAGTTCTCCCCTGTCCTACGTGCCTCTATTTGCTTGTTAACACGGCCAGTTCTCCCCTGTCCTACGTGCCTCTATTTGCTTGTTAACACGGCCAGTTCTCCCCTGTCCTACGTGCCTCTATTTGCTTGTTAACACGGCCAGTTCTCCCCTGTCCTACGTGCCTCTATTCGCTTGTTAACACGGCCAGTTCTCCCCTGTCCTACGTGCCTCTATTTGCTTGTTAACACGGCCAGTTCTCCCCTGTCCTGCGTGCCTCTATTCGCTTGTTAACACGGCCAGTTCTCCCCTGTCCTACGTGCCTCTATTTGCTTGTTAACACGGCCAGTTCTCCCCTGTCCTACGTGCCTCTATTTGCTTGTTAACACGGCCAGTTCTCCCCTGTCCTACGTGCCTCTATTTGCTTGTTAACACGGCCAGTTCTCCCCTGTCCTACGTGCCTCTATTTGCTTGTTAACACGGCCAGTTCTCCCCTGTCCTACGTGCCTCTATTTGCTTGTTAACACGGCCAGTTCTCCCCTGTCCTACGTGCCTCTATTTGCTTGTTAACACGGCCAGTTCTCCCCTGTCCTACGTGCCTCTATTTGCTTGTTAACACGGCCAGTTCTCCCCTGTCCTACGTGCCTCTATTCGCTTGTTAACACGGCCAGTTCTCCCCTGTCCTACGTGCCTCTATTTGCTTGTTAACACGGCCAGTTCTCCCCTGTCCTACGTGCCTCTATTTGCTTGTTAACACGGCCAGTTCTCCCCTGTCCTACGTGCCTCTATTTGCTTGTTAACACGGCCAGTTCTCCCCTGTCCTACGTGCCTCTATTTGCTTGTTAACACGGCCAGTTCTCCCCTGTCCTACGTGCCTCTATTTGCTTGTTAACACGGCCAGTTCTCCCCTGTCCTACGTGCCTCTATTTGCTTGTTAACACGGCCAGTTCTCCCCTGTCCTATGTGCCTCTATTTGCTTGTTAACACGGCCAGTTCTCCCCTGTCCTACGTGCCTCTATTTGCTTGTTAACACGGCCAGTTCTCCCCTGTCCTACGTGCCTCTATTCGCTTGTTAACACGGCCAGTTCTCCCCTGTCCTATGTGCCTCTATTCGCTTGTTAACACGGCCAGTTCTCCCCTGTCCTACGTGCCTCTATTTGCTTGTTAACACGGCCAGTTCTCCCCTGTCCTACGTGCCTCTATTTGCTTGTTAACACGGCCAGTTCTCCCCTGTCCTACGTGCCTCTATTTGCTTGTTAACACGGCCAGTTCTCCCCTGTCCTACGTGCCTCTATTTGCTTGTTAACACGGCCAGTTCTCCCCTGTCCTACGTGCCTCTATTTGCTTGTTAACACGGCCAGTTCTCCCCTGTCCTACGTGCCTCTATTCGCTTGTTAAGACGGCCAGTTCTCCCCTGTCCTACCCTCACAGTACGTGGAGGAGGCGAATGGTCAAATCGAGCGGTACGACCGGGGCGTGAAGCAGGCAGGCGTGCTGTCATATATGCCTCGCTTCTCTTGTTAATTCGTCCACACTCCCCCCCCGTCCGTCTACCCTCCCTCACAGTACGTGGAGGAGGCGAATGGGCAGATCGAGCGGTACGACCGGGGAGTGAAGCAGGCGGGCGTGCTGTCCTACGTGCCTTATTCACGACTTACCCCCATCTCTCCCTCTTCCCCCACCCTGTGCCTGTCCCTTTGTTCCTCTCTCCAGTACGTGGAGGAGGCGAATGGGCAGATCGAGCGGTACGACAGGGGCGTGAAGCAGGCGGGAGTGCTGTCCTACGTGCCCCGCTTCGCAGCGCTGGCGGTGCGAATGGAGGGGCTGGTCATGGGCACGTGCAGGGATTTGGTGGACCAGGCTTATAACAAGCTGGTGAGAGAGGAAGAAGGGCAGGAGGGGGATGGATGGGGGCAGTGGGAATGGATGGGGCAATGGAGGCATGGAGGGCCTGGTCATGGGCACGTGCAGGGATCTGGTGGATCAGGCTTACAACAAGCTGGTGAGAGAGAGGGGGGGAGGGGGGCTGGATTGGGGATCTCAGAGGCGTGTAGTGTGGTGTGGTGAGTGCCAGTGTTGCGGCACTGGCGGTGCGAATGGAGGGGCTGGTCATGGGCACGTGCAGAGACCTGGTGGACCAGGCTCACAACAAGCTGGTGAGAGGGCAACGGTGTATGCAGTGCATGCAGGCATGTTTGGGAATTTCACAAAAGGACGTGGTGCAGGAACCTAGGTTTCCAACAACTGCAGAGACCTGGTGGACCAGGCTCACACCAAGCTGTTGAGTGTTCTCCACTCTGGACCACATAGCCTCAGATCGACCCCAAGCACTGCGACATGCTCTTTCCACCCCATATTCCCCTCTCTGCCTACACTCCCCCGATTACCTTCCTCCTTCCCCCCCACCCCGTCCCCCCTTCCCCCTCATTCCCCCTTCTCCCTGCGACGTGCTGCTTAGTGTCTGTCTCGGACCTCACTCTTTCCACCCCATACCCCCTCTCTACCCCCCCCACTCTCTTGTCCCCTCCTTGTTCCCCACACCCCAATCGTTTCGTACCCCCCCAGGTGAGCACCATGTTCTCTACGCTGGACCGCATAGCTCAGATTGACCCCAAGCACTGCGACGTGCTGCTGCTGGAGAATCATGCGGCCTTCCAGAACAGGTACCACCACTCGCTCACCACCAGCCTTTCTAGCTGGTGCGCCAGGTAACTTTTAAGTCGACTCAAAAGTCTCCTCGCCAAGCACTGCGACGTGCTGCTGCTGGAGAATCATGTGGCCTTCCAGAACAGGTACCACCACGACCACCACCACCACCACCACCACCCGCCTGTCTCTCTAGAGTTGATGAAACGGGGATGGAATGGATGAAAGCCCCCCCTATTGCTGGCTTGTAGACGCCTCAACTCAGTGCACTATGCCCTGCAGAGCCCAGATCGACCCCAAGCACTGCGATGTGCTGCAGCTGGAAAATCGTGTGGCTTTCCAGAGCAGCTAGAACTCGTGTTGTTTCGCACACAGACATCTTCAAGTTTTCTCGTGACAGGAGTTGAAGACACTTGGAGTTGTCCCCTTTTCTCACTTCAACACCTCGCGCTGTCCGTCAAACCCTTTCTTGAGCCGCGTCAACCCCCAACGAGCTCATTTATCCTCCCCAACCCCCATTCCCTTCCCACTCACCCCCCCACAGCACGTACGACCTGGCGGGCACCATCCCGACGCTGCGCCTCTTCTACCAGCAGTCCAGTGAGACGGACGCGACTGCCGGCCCGGATGGCACCCCCTCACCTCTCTCTCTCCCTCTTTGTGTCCCATTCATTTTCCCCAATCCCCGTGCTCATCCCCGCTTTGCAGCACGTACGACCTGGCGGGCACCATCCCGACGCTGCGCCTCTTCTACCAGCAGTCCAGTGAGACGTACGAGACGGCCTGCACGCGCTACATCGACTCAGTCATCTTCGGGGTGAGTTCCCTTTCCCGTGGCATGTGATTGTGTTACCGCATGGGGTGCTGTATGGGGCTTTGTCTGAACAAGACTGGCTTGCATTGCACGGGGGAGAGTGGTTGGGAGGGGATTTGCGCTTCTGACAGTCCAGAGAAATGTAGAGCATGTGCCCATGTGCGCCTCTGCATGTGGAGTTGCTGTCCATTCTCACTGTTGTACCATTGCACGATTTCGTAAAAACTGTTTCTTTTTTTTCAGAAAGTGACACGCCTGCTGCTGATATCGCAATCTGTTTGATCGCCCTTGCACTGTGCTCACCCCGTTTTGAGACGTCTCAAAACTATGTTTGATCACCCCTGCACTGTCCTCGCCCCTGCTGCTGCTGATGACCCCTGCACTGTGCTCACCCCGACCCAACACATCCTTACCGATTCTACCATTGCAGAATTTCGACAAGCTGTTCGACTATCTTCAGAAGATCAAGCACCTCCTGCTGGCAATTCCAAATTCCTTGATCCCGCCCCCTGCACTGTGCTTTCCCCCTACCCAACACATGCTTGCAGAATTTCAACAAGCTGTTTGACTATCTTCAGAAGATCAAGCACCTCCTGCTGACCATCGCAATCTGTTTGATCCTCCCTGCTCCCCTTACCCAACACCTACTTGGTTTTCTTCCGTTGCAGAATTTCGACAAGTTGTTTGAGTACCTTCAGAAGATCAAGAATCTTCTGCTGACAATTGAAACAGAGGAGGTATGGTAGCCATACCACAAGCTCTCATCATGCCCCATGTGCCCGATGTCCCTTATGGGCTTCAGAGTCCTGTTTAACTCGGGTGATTGTTTTAGACGACTCAAAGACCAGCACCGCATGTAAACCACACAAATTGCTCACAGACCCCCTGTCCTTTTGTGTGCTTCAGTTCCCGTTTGAAGCAGCTCCTGAGATGTTTCAAAATTTGTTGTACCCGTGGCGTGTTGTGTCCTTCAGATTCCGTTCCAAATCGGCTTCAGCAAAGCCGACCTGCGGAAAGTGCTCAAGTCGCAACTCACTGGGGTAAGCTGGCTGGGAGTGTTTAAGGCCGTAGGGTACAAATCGGGTCGGCTTTGCTGAAGCCGCAGCAGGAGCCGCAGCTGGGAGTGACTTTCTGTTCCACTTTCCGCAGGAGTTGGAACGGAAAGTCACTCCCAGCAGCAGCAGCAGGAGTGTTCCAAATCGGCTTCAGCTGGCTGCTCCTGCTGCTGCTTCTGCTGCTGCGGCTGCTGCTGCTCCTGCTGCTGCTTCTGCTGCTGCGGCTGCTGCTGCGGCTGTGGTTGCGGTTGCTCAAGCTGCTGCTGTAGCTTCAGCAAAGCTGATATTCGGAAAATTCTCAAGTCGCAACTCACAGGATTAAGCTGGCTGGGGGGGAGTATGTAAGAAAGACCGTAGGGCAAACTGTTGCTGCTGCTGCTGCTGCTGCTGCACCTGACCCGTTTTCTTTGCTCTCTCCAGACCACGGTCCACAATAGTATGCTGACCTGCTTGAGAGCCTTATTTCCCTGATATGCTGAGCATGCTGTTGCAGGTGGGACCGCTTTCTCAATTTCATGTTCAGCAAGATGAGGAAGATTCTTGAGGCGACTCAAAGGAGTCCTCGTTCAACAGTGTGTTAAGCTGTCTTTGAGAAATAAAACATTTTCCTCTTCATGCCTGAATGGCTGCAGGTGGACCGATCGCTCAACTAAATGTTCAACAAGATGCGAAAGAATCTCACGTCGGGTGACCTGCTTCCCTCGCTCTGGCTCAAATGCCAGGTGAGTACCCCTCACAGAGTAAATTTCTCCGAAGTACATTTGTTGTTGCGCCTTGCAACTGGGCATCTGCTTGTTGAGCCGACTCAGTCAAGCCAGGTGAGCACCCCTCGCTTAGTAAATCCTCCAAGTGTACGTTTGTTGAGGTGGCTCACAAATCGGCATTGAAGTCCCTCGCTCTGGCTCAAATGTCACGCGAGCACCCCTCACTCAGTAGATGGCTCCAATCCAAGCGTACGCTTACATCATCATTGAGTGTTAAGAGGTGGTTCAAAAGAGACCCAACGGTTTGTGCCTCCACTTCACATACTCACATCACTATTGAGTTGAGTTATTAACTTTCTATTCCCTGAGCATTTCTGCCTTAACTTCTCAATCCACTGCCGTGTTTCTCAACACCTGCCTCATTTCTTGTGTATGGGAAATGCCTGTGTGATCAGGAGAGCTTTATGGAGCGATACGAAGAATTGGAGGCTGTGGTGGCCAAGTGCTATGCGAATGAAGCTATCAGCCCGTCTTCCCGAGAAATGCGAGATGCCTTCAACTCCATTGTTGCTTGATTTCCTATTTAGCTGTGTGCATGCTACGTGCCATTTCATTTCCCTCTCGTAGACTGTTATTGTATGAGTTATGAAATCCCTTCTAGTGTTTTCATAGTTTGTACAATATCGCCATGGTTGTGCTTGTAATGAATTAGAATTCATTCCTGTAGAGGCTGCTCCTAGCGAGGACATCCCGAACTTCGCGTCAGTCTGGGTTCGGCCTACACTTCGGCCCGAACCACTTTTCCGAGTCGCTTCCGCACCAATCGCAACACATCCAAACCTCGCACGTCCCGAGGTCCTCGCCTAGCCCGGTTTCGACCCTATAAATGCATGCCTCTTTATCATTCTCGTCATTCTGTATTCGACATCCTTTTTATAAAGTCTTTCGCGCACTCTTCTTAGTACAACTCATAACAGTGCTGTTATAAGAACGTTTTGCAATTTCAAACTCTAGGGGCAGGCGAATGCAGGCTTGTGAGTGAACCTTCCCCACACCTGACTGGCAGGCTGGCAGCCCACTTGAGCAAGCCTCCGCTGGGTGCCAAGAAAGTCAACCGCCCGTCAAAGCAGTTGGGCTCACCTCGCCCGCTCACCACCACTACTGACGGAAATGCCAGCTGGGAAACCTTGAGCGCTTTTGTCGTACGCGCAAGCACTTCGTGATTTCACGCGTTTCGCTATCTCCCCGAATTGTCGCTAAACGTCGTTCACCTTGTGGACACAGCTCAAAGTGATGCTCCACCCATACAAAAGTTACCATACGTGGACAACTATCACAGTCAGGGTGGAGGAAAATAGAACTCCTGAGAACTACACCGAGTTTTGTCAATCAACTGCACTCTCTCGCACCAGTTAGGCAGGTTTCGTATCCCTCGGGAGTGCCGAGATTGGGGTTTGCGAAGTGCACAGACTGAACAATGTTTACGAAACGTTTGCGAGGCATTGCGAAACTCACCAACTCCTGAGCCAATCGTCCTCCAGGCCCGACTGAAGCCAGACAGGACCGAGGCTATGGCGGCCAACTACCAATCACAGAGACAAAGAGGAAGAAACATGGAGATAAGGAAAGAGACAAAGAGGCTTCAAGTCTAGGCTCTGCCAGCGCTGTTGCTGCCGTCCTCCGTTTCTTTTGCATTCTCTCGTTTGTTTTTTCGCCTAGTCAATAGCTTCTGTTGAATCACGATTCACGAACACCTGCTGCAGCTGCTGCTGCACCCTTCACATCCTTGACTTGCGCTGCTGCCTCGCTGGTTCCTCGCGCATGCCGTTCCCCTTGCTCCCGCCGACCAACCAACCATCGATAGTCTGGAAGCCGATTCGCGTCACGTTAGCAGCAGCACCTCCAGCCTCGGTTTTTACCAGCCCAGCAGAACCCTTGCAGCTCAGATGGATTGCTTGTGGGCTAATAGAACGTGTCGGGAATATATCGTCGCAATAGCTATAGCGTCACCGTCAGCTTTCAATATTTGATGCCTGTTCTAAAGGGTTCCTCGTCGCTCTTAGCTACACTACCGTGGTAACCCGTTCGCAATCAATTTGCCGTTTGTAGTTAGCTGTAGCGTCACCGTTGTCGCGAAACTGGACCCTTCCAGGACCCTCGCTTCAATCCTTCCATGCATTCCCCGGAAGTTCTGATGGACGGCTGTCACAGCTCTCTAATGACGTTACTAGAAATAGCTCCTAGAAGAAACTGCTTCTTTCAAGCGAGATGACTTCACGTCCAATCCCTGAAGAGTCATATTATTCAACCCGAAATCCGTACCAGGCTATGTTACGACGTGCATCAGAAGACGGGCTCGTCTATTAAACACCACTTTCAGATGGTTACCCTATTTAGATAATTACGACTCGACATCTCGTTTCTGTTCGCGAAGGCTTCCGCTGACCAATGGCAGCGGCAGGATCAGCATTGATGTCGGTGAACGAAGGCGACGAGAACTCGCTGTTCTACGATGACCCCGATCTCGCCGTCGACGATTATATTCCAAAGGACCGCCATGGTAAGACGGGAAGGTCCGTCAGGGTTCGTCAGAATCCTTCAAGGTCCGTCAAGGTCCGTCAAGGTCCGTCAATGTCCGTCGAGGTCCGTCAAGGTTCTGCTTTTGAGACGATTCAAACGCGGACGACAAGGCGAGAACCCGCTTCAAGGTCCGTCAAGAAAAGACAGAACGTTTTTTTCCTGAAATTGTTCCCGACGGATCTCCAACGTCCCTCCAAGGATGGTCGACGAATGGTCCCTTCTAGAGCGATTTCACTGAGCGCGTATGCGTCCGCATTTTGACCTTGCAAATTGAAACGCTCGAGAAACGGCGGATCCCCGCGCTGGTCAGTACACGCTTCTCGGAACATGGTTACTTTTCTTGCCTCCGCTATTTCCTGTATCCATCACCCAGTCGTCGCCGTCAGTTCCCAGGGTTTCCGGTTTCGTTGCCTCCGTCAATTTCCGTCGCTTCCGTCGCCTTACTTCTGTCCGCAACCTCTCCCTCGCCGACTCCCTACTCACATTCCCGTCTCCCGCCAACTTAGGGTTTCTCCTGCGATCGCAAAGGCGACAATTTTTAGTAGACTAAAAATCGTCACTCCCGCTACACACATTGTCGTCTCCCGCCAATTTAGGGTTTCCCCCACCATTGAGTACGAGACACCTTCTTCTCTTTCTCTCCTCTCTGGACCCCTTTCCTCCCCTCCCCTCCCCTCCCCTCCCCTCCCCTCCCCTCCCCTCCCCTCCCCTCCCCTCCCCTCCCCTCCCCTCCCCTCCCCTCCCCTCCCCTCCCCTCCCCTCCCCTCCCCTCCCCTCGCTGCGCCCCATCCCCAACTGGGCTTTCTCCTTCCCCCTCCCTGACCTTCGTGTCCTCCCCCCTCCCGCTCCCCTATCCCGCTTCCCCTCCTCACCCCTACCTCTCTCCCGCGCAACCAGACTTGGAGCTGATGAGAGAGTGCCTCTCGAAGCTGCTGCTGGGGGACCACCCCTCGGGAGGCGCTTAGGGATGCAGGCCCGCCGTCCGCTCCTCACACCATCCCTTTTGCCCTTCACACCCATTCGCAAGGGAGCGCCTCTCGAAGCTATTGCTGGGGGACAACCCCTCGGGAGGTGCTAAGGGCTGCGGGCCCGTCCCCCTTCAAACCCACCACCCCCCACCCCTCCCTTTTTCCATTCCATTCACACCTATTCACACCCATGCACACCCCTCTCGCTCTCTCTCAACCCGACTTGGAGCTGATGAGAGAGCGCCTCTTGAAGCTGTTGTTAGGGGACGACCCCTCGGGAGGCGCCAAGGGCTGCGGGCCCGCCCCCCTAATCCCCTGTACCTCCCCCACTCCCACATCCCCCCTTCGTCCATTTGCCCACCCCCCCTTGTCTTTGCCCTTCACACCCATTCACACCCGTCGGGGAGCAGACTTGGAGCTGATGAGGGAGCGCCTCTCGAAGCTGCTGCTGGGGGACGCCCCCTCGGGAGGAGCCAAGGGCTGCGGGCCTGCCCTCCGCTCATACCCCTGCACACCCACTCACACCTCCTCACACCCATGCACACCCCTCTCTCTCCCTCGCAATCAGACTTGGAGCTGATGAGGGAGCGCCTCTCGAAGCTGCTGTTAGGGGACGACCCCTCGGGAGGCGCCAAGGGCTGCGGACCCGCCCTAGCCATGGCTAACGCGATCACCAGCGTCTCAGGTGCGTCAGGTGCTTTCTCAGGTTATTTACACAGTCTGAGGTGGATTGAAGGTGCTAAGGGCTCCTGGCCTGGCCTTGCCATGGCGAACGTCAGGTGATTTCTCAGGTGGTTTTGCAAGTCCCAAATGTGTCAGGTGGCGTCTCAGGTAAATTACACTGTCTCAGGTGTTATTAATCTGCTCCATGCATTCAAGAGCATTTTCTTGATTCTTGGAGCATTTTCTCCAATCGGTTTGATCACTCCCAGCATCCGTATTTGGAGACAGCTTGCGGTTGCGGCCGCTGAGGGACGAGTATAAGAACAAGTGGCGGCGGTAGATGGGAATCATGGTGCACTAAAGCACACCCTTGGTCTCTCTGTCTTTCTCTTCCGTAACTGCAGCGTCCGTGTTTGGAGACAGCTTGCGGCTGCGGCTGCTGAGGGACAAGGACAAGAACAAGTGGCGGCAGTAGATGGGAACCATGGTGTCGGTGTGTGTGTGTGAAAATCGTCTCTATCTTCCCCTCTTTGATCCCAGCGTCTGTTTTTGGAGACAGCTTGCGGTTGCGGCCGTTGAGGGACGAGGACAAGAACAAGTGGCGGAGGGAGATGGGAATCATGGTGTCGGTGTGTCGTCACATCGTGGAGCTGGCGCCAGGCTGGCAGACGCGCCCTGACGGCACCCGATTCGAGGTACGAAACGGGTGGAGGGAAGGGGGAGAGCAGGAGTGAGTGAGGTAGGGGAGATGAGAGCAGAGAGATGGGAATCATGGTCTCGCTGTGTGTCGGCACTTTGTGGAGCTGGCTCCTGGTTGGCAGACGCGCCCTGACGGCACCAGATTCGAGGTACGAAACGGGTGGAGGGAAGGGGGAGAGCAGGAGTGAGTGAGGTAGGGGAGATGAGAGCAGAGAGATGGGAATCATGGTCTCGCTGTGTGTCGGCACTTTGTGGAGCTGGCTCCTGGTTGGCAGACGCGCCCTGACGGCACCAGATTCGAGGTACGAAACGGGTGGAGGGAAGGGGGAGAGCAGGAGTGAGTGAGGTAGGGGAGATGAGAGCAGAGAGATGGGAATCATGGTCTCGCTGTGTGTCGGCACTTTGTGGAGCTGGCTCCTGGCTGGCAGACGCGCCCTGACGGCACCAGATTCGAGGTACGAAACGGGTGGAGGGAAAGGGAAGAGCACTGTCAAGGGTAAGGGGTTGATGGGAAAGAGGAGGCAGGGCTGTGGTTGGACAGCGGAATCAGGAACATGGGCACATTGTGAAGCTAGCTTCTGGCTGGCAGACGCGGCCAGATGGCACCAGATTCGAGGTGAGGATGGGTGGATGGAGGGAAGGGGGAGAGCAGGAGTGGTGGCAGGGGAAAGGGGCTGGTAGGAAAGTGGAGTAGAGGGGTGGCGAGGGCAGTGAGGAACGGAGGATGGTGTGGTGGGTCATGAAGCGGAGAGTGAGGGGAAACCTTCAAAGCACCCTCAAATGCTCATCTTGTCATCTTCTCCTAACCCCCACCCCCTTCTCCCTCCTCCTCTCCCCCTCTTATTCCCTCCTCTTATCACCCCCTGCCTCTGAAATGGCAGGTAATGAAGCGGAGAGTTAGGGAGGACCTTCGAATCAACCTCCCAGCGCTCACCAAGCTAGACCATCTGCTGCAGGTGCGTGGTGGTGCAGGCGTGTGGGGCGTGTAGGCAAGGCTTGTGAGGGCAGGGCGTGTGTTTGGGGAATATGTGTGTGTGGGTTACCTTTGAGGCGAATCAACCTCCCAGCACTCAACAAGCTAGCTAGTCCATCTGCTGCAGGTGCGTGGGGGGAGGGCGTATGTGGGCAGGGCGCATGTGGGCAGGCAGTATGTTGGCCCACACCAGAGCATACTAGAGCAGAGCACGTCAGCAGAGTATTACCATGAGGACGAGTTAGTGGGGGGGCAGGGGCTAATCCTCCCGACATCTCTCCGTTTCCCCTTGCTTCTCACTCTCTCCTTCGTGCCCTCCCCTCTCACCAGAGCATGCTAGAGCAGAGCACGTCAGCAGAGTATTACCATGAGGATGAGGTAATGGGGCGGCAGGAGAGCTGAGCAGAACAGAGCCTTTTCCTTGAAATTTCCTCACCCCCCACCACCACCACCACCACCACCACCACCCAACCCTCTCTCTCTCCCTCGTCCCCTCCCCCCACCCTACACCCCTCCTTCCCCCTTTTACCAGAGCATACTAGAGCAGAGCACGTCAAATGAATATTATTATGAGGACGAGGTGGTGGGAGGGCAAGAACCCAGCCTAACTACCTCTCTTCCCTTCCCCTCCGACCCGTTCCCTCTCTCCCTCACCCGAACACCCCGCCCTCTCACCAGAGCATACTAGAGCAGAGCACGTCAAATGAATATTACTATGAGGACGAAGTGGTGGGAGGGCAAGAGCCTAGAGAAGAAGACGAAGAGGAGGGGGAGGAGGAGAGGGAGGAGGATGATGACGTGGACGTTGATGATGATGACGTGGATGGGGATATTGTGGATCAGGATTTCGATCTGAATGCTGACGTAGCAGGAGGGTCGGAAGGAGGGGTAGGTTCGGAAAGAGGAGGGATAGGGTCGGAAGAAGGGGGGGTAGGTTTGGAAAAAGGATCAGCAGCAGCAGGAGGAGGGAGTGAAGTCACAAAGGGGAGCAGCGCCAAAGAAGCTTTTTCTCGAAGGGAAGGGGGGAGAAGTAGTAGGGGAGATAGTGGGGCGAGCGGTGGGAGTGGGTTGAGTGGGTTGCGTGGTGGTAATGCGAGCAGCAACAGCGGGGAGGATCAGGAGCAGCAGGAGGAAAGGCAGCAGCAGGAGGAGGAGCCTGAGAAGCACGAATCAGATGCAGAAGGGTTGGAGCAGCAGTTTCGAAGGAGCATCTCAGCACCTACAGAGAGGCGCGAGAGTGGGGACTTTGCAGAGGTGGATAAGGAGTATGCGGCAAGGCTGAGGTGTAGAGAGGATGTGAGTGCGGTTGGGATGGGTGGGAGAGGGGGAGGAGGGGTGCGAAGGGGCAGGCTGCCTACATCTGCGTCTGTTGGCAATGCTCACCCTGCTGCTGCTGCTGCTGCTGCTGCTGCTGCTGCTGCTGCTGCTGCTGCTGCTGCTGCCGCTGCCAGTTTGGTTCCTGCTCCCGTTGCTACTGCTGCTGCTCCAGTTGCTGCAGCAGCTGCTGTTCCCACTGCTGCGGCTGCTGCTGCTGCTCCCGCTGCTGCTGCTACGAGTCCTACTCCTGCTCCTGCTGCTACTACTGAAGCTGCTGCTGCTGCTGGTACAGGGGCTGGTGCAGGTGCGGGTGCGGGTGAGGGTGATATTGGTGGGAAGGACGCTGATTCAGAACCTGATTCCACAGCCACTCCTCCTGCTGCTCATTCTCGTTCCTCCAATGCTCCCGAGCCTTGCCCGTTACCGAGGTTGGGATCAGGCTCGAAATCAGGTTCGGGACCAGGGGCAGGATCAGGTTCAGGGTCAGGGTCGGGATCAAGGTCGAGATCAGGTTCGGGATCAGGTTCGGGATCAGGTTCGGAACAGCAAGAGGAGACGGGGCAGAAGGAGGGGGGACAAGAGAGGGAGCAGAAGAAGGGGGGAGACGAAGGGATGAATTCTGAAGGGTCCAGCCCCTCTATAAGCTCATCATGGGGCTTTTCCCGCTCATACACCTCCTCCTCTACAGTCACCTCCGTTACTGCCACATCGGGAAACAATAATAACAGTAGCAATAACGACAATGCTGTTGGTGGTGGTAGTGGTGGTGTGAAGGAGCTGGCTAGGAGGAGAACGACGGGGAGAATGGGCAGCCGCAGCTATGACCTAGGGGCGTTTGTGAGGGGCAGGACGAAGGAGGCCGCAGGGAAAGCGGATGGAGATTGCATCTGCAGCAGCGGCGGCGGCGGCGGTAGCAGTGGTGGTGGCAGTGGTGGCGGTGGCGGTGGTGAGTCAGGAGCAAGTGGGGCAGTGGCAGGGGCGGGAGCAGGAGCAGGAGGAGGGGGGGTGCCATGGCGGTGGAAAGTGAAGCCGCGGATGAGAGTGGGATTGTCAGAGGATCTCAGGAGGTGGCTGGAGCAGCAGTCGGAGAAGACGAGTCAGATCATGAAAGCATGCATGTTTATCAATCAGCAGATTCTTCAGGACATGGACGTTCCAGATGCATTCCTGCAGCGATTGCCCAAGGTGGGTGTGTGAATGGGACAGAAAAAGGGGAAGAGGGATAACGGTATGGACGTTAACCAGCAGACTCTTCAGGACATGGACGTTCCAGATGCATTCCTGCAACGATTGCCCAAGGTAAATGTCTTGAAAAGGGGGGAGGGAGGAAGAGGGGGGGGGAGAAGACATGTCGGATCATGAAGGCGTGCACGTTCATCAACCAACAGATTCTTCAGATGCCTTGCTGCAACGACTCCCCAAGGTAAGTGTATTTTTGGGGGGTGGGGAGAAAGAAAGAAAGGGAGGAAGGCGAGTGTTTATAAAGGCATGTATGTTTATCCTTCATCTGACTCCTGCAGCGACTGCCCAAGGTGAGTGTGAGAGATGGTGACGGGGAAAGCACACGAGAGATGATGAAAACGAGTGAGACGATGAGGGCATGCATGTTCATGGACGATGAGGGCATGCATGTTCATCAACCGGCATGTGCCTGCCTCAGGACATGGACGTTCCAGATTCCTTCCTGCAATGACTTTGCCCCAGGTGGGTGTGAGAGGAACAGATTATATTCAAGTGTGAGTGCGCGTGCTCACACACACAACGCTCATGCGCGCGTGCACGTACACACACTAACACAGAGGTGACTTTTGAGTCGACTCAAAAGACACCACGTGCGCACGCACACACACTAACACGCGTTTCTCCTCTCTTTCCTCATCCCATCAACTCCCCCATTTTCCACACGGTGCTTGAAGCCAGTATTGGGAGCCAGAGTGTGCATTCTGGTGGAGTCATGGTTTTCCTCTTCCCATCCCCCATCTCCCATCAACTCTTCTTCTCCCCTTCTCATCTCACCTTTCTCTCCTCTCTCCATCTCCCTTCTCCTCTCCTCTCCTCTCCCCTTCTCCTCTCCTCTCCCCTTCTCTTCTCTCCCCTTCTCCTTTCCTCTCCCGCTCCCCTTTCCACACAGAGCTTGAAGACAATACTGGGAGACAGGGTGTACAGTCTGCTGCTCTCAACGCCTTATAACGAGGATAAAGTGCTCAGCGCAGTCGATCTGAGCAATCAACGGGCGGCTTTAAAACTGGCATGCAAGATGGAAGCAGCACAGCAAATCTGGATCAGGCAGCTTCAAACAGCCAGGTAAGTGTGGTTCAGTGCGGTGCATTGTGGTATAATGTGCTTCAGTGCTTTCGTGTGAGGTGCTGTGCTCATAAGGCGGCATTAAAGCTCGCTTGCAAGATGGAAGCAACACAGAAGATTTGCATCAGGCAGCTTCAGGCAGCCAGGTACAACGTGGTTTAGTGTGGTTCAGTGAGGTGGATTGTGGCAGCTTCCCCCTTTCTCCCCACACACCTCGCTTGCTTTCCCTTGAACTCGATCCTCCCGCCAATTCCCCACTTTCCCCCTTCGCGTCCTCTTCCTGATTTTCTTCCTAAACATACCCAGTAAAAAAATCCGGTCTCTGCTCGTTTCTTCCATTGAATGGCAATTCTTATTGGGCGCTTCGAAAGTTTGTCCCGTTGCTCCCATTGGATGGCAGTCATTGTCCAACCCATGTTCCAAAAATAACATCCTTATCTGTAAATATGCCCTAATTGCAAGATGCTCAAACCCAACGCTCTTCCTGGCCCCCCGCCCCCCCCTTCCTTCCCCTCCATCCTTCACATTTTCACCCAGGCTGACGACCAACACAGGTTGACACAGAAGTCAACTCTTCCCCCACCTCCCCCCCTTGCCCCCCTTCCCTTCGCTCCCCCTCCTCCCGCCCCTCTCCTTACCCTCCGTCCTTCACAATTTCACCCTGCTTGTCGGCCAACTCAGGGAGCCCTATCTCACGCACACACTGGGCGGCAGTTATTTGTCCACTAGCAGCCGCGAGATCATGCGGCTGGAGGAGAATCTGGAGCGGGTGGCATCGTGCCTCGCTGCCATCCGCCGCATGTGGCCCGACCTCCCCCAAACCACCTTGGACCTCGCCAAAATCGCTTTCAACCGGGTGAGAAAGAGAAGGAAATTCTATAATGTGTCTGCTTTAAGGGCCGTGCATTGGTGGCGAGGGGGAAGAGCTGGGGGTGGTAGGAGGTGGCATCATGCTTGCCTCGCTGCAATCCAATGCAGGTAGCCCGACCTCCCACAGACCACCTTGGACCTTGCCAAGATTGCTTACAACCGGGTGAGAAAGCTTCATGTGTGTCTGCTTGAAGCACCATGCATTGGTCATGGGTGGGAGAGAACGGCACCGTGCCTCACTGCGATTCGCCGCATCCTCCCTGTCCTCACAACCACATCAGGATATCGGGAAGGCAGTCCTAGAAAGCTATTCCCGGGTGCTAGAGGGAGCTGCCTCCGACATCCGAGCGCGCCTGCGTGACGTGCTTCACGCGGACCACCTTTTCAACCACCCCCAGCTCTTCCCCCTCCCATCACCCTCCCGCCCTCTCAGACCACCATCTCTTCACCCTCCAACACTCCTGCCAACCCAGCTCTTCCACCATCTCTTCACCCTCCAACACCCGTGCCAACCCAGCTCTTCCTTCTCACTCCCTCCCTTTATTCTTCCCCTTAGTTGCGGAAGACGCGTCTAGCGTCTTAGACGCGTCCGTCTAGACGCAGCGTCTAAGACTCTAGACGCTAGATGAGTCAGATTAGACGCAGTAGTAGACGAAAGCCCGGGCAGGCTAAAAAAAGTTCGGGCAGACAAAAACAAATCTATGGGGCATGGGGAGGGTGGGGGACATGCACGTATGTCACAATGGGGTCAATTTTTCCCCATACCATAACTTTTTCCCCATTCTTAGATTTCTGCAGGAGGGGATCGAAGGAACTAGCTAAACCCTAAGGGTTTTCGAAAGAGATTTGGAAGAAATGAATGATGGGGAGCACAAATGAGGGATTTGTGCTCCCCAACCTCTTGGTGGTTAGCCATAGAAGTTGGGTTTTCTAGATACCAAGCGGTGAAGTGTGGTTTGTGTTCAATTTTGGTTGGGAGGGATTCAAAATTGCTTGGGGGGCTGGTTTTTATGGTCGAAATGGGTGGGAAGGGGTTCTAATGGCGCGAAATTGAATTTCGCGTCGAAATGGCGAATTTCAATTTCGCACGCGCGGAATTTTTTTTTGTTTGGGCTGCCCGAAAAAAATTAGCCCAAGCGTCTAGCGTCTAAAGGTGCGCCTTGCGTCTAGCGTCTAGACGCAAGACGGGTCGAGCGTCTAGACTTAAGGTGGGTCGAGCGTCTTCCGCAACTAAGTTCTTCCCTTCCCCGTTCTGCTCTCCCTGCCCTCACCTCTCCAGGACATTGGGAAAGCGGTTCTAGAAAGTTATTCCCGGGTGCTAGAGGGAGCTGCCTCCAACATCCGAGCACGCCTGCGAGACGTGCTTCATGCAGACCACCTTTTCAACAACCCCCAGCTCTTTCCCCTCCAAGACGCCCCCTCAGACCCTCGCCCCCAGCACCTGCGCCACCCCACCTTCTCTCTGCTCATGCCCGATACTATCTTTGACGCGGTCTCGGTTTCCGGGGGAAGTGAATCTTCAGCGAGTATTCGCAGCTTTGAGTCGAGCAGGAGCGGGAGCAGTGGGAAGGGCGGGAGGCATTTCCGGGGCGGGAGTATGGTGTCGGATTCGGGAGTATCGAGCCCTGGCGGGGGCGGGGGAGGGAGTGGAGGTTCAGGTGGAATCTCAGGTGGGAAGTCAGGTGGCGGGAGATGGGACACGCGGCCGCCCAGGAGTCCCGAGTTGCGAACTTCATCTGTAGCGCCAGCAGGGATGAGCCGGTTGGGCGGGAATGGGAGCGGTGGGAATGGGAGCAGCGGGATGAGTTTCCGTGATCGCTTTCGGAGCGCCACTCTAGCAGCTCCCACCTCCAGCGCTGCTGCTGCCACTACCGCTGGTGCTGCTGCTGATGCTGCTGGTGGCGCCGCTGGTGGTGCTGCTGCTGCTGGTCCTGGGTCTGGTGCGATGGGGTATTCCCAGTCTCTACCAGCACACGACCCCAAGCAGCAACAGCAGCAACCGTACCTACGCAGAACAGGCTCGTTTCAACCTACCTCCCAGAGCCGCGGCGGCATGATGCGGACGGTAAGGAGGAGTCAAAGCGGGGGGCTGGAGGAGGAGGTGATGCGGCTGAAGCTTGAATCAGGGGAGACTGGGGGGGACTCGCCTGTCCTGACTAAGACCCCGGGGTTTGTTCTTGTCTCAGCGTTACAGAGTGGTGGTGGTGGCGGTGGTTCGGGGGGGTTCTCGTCGCGACCACCACACCCGCCAAATCGATCCGCTAGTGGTGATTGGACATGACATGACACAGTTAACGAAAGTAAATTTCCATTCCTAGATCAGTCTGCATGATTGGTCTCCTTGTTTAGACAGAAATACGATTAGAATCTGTCGTGTATTATTTGTTCGTCAGCCAACCTGTACACTTGGTATTGAAAGAAACAGGGGAGACAGTAGTCAATTCAAGGATGAATAGACTTGTTTGGTCGCCTCAAATTACCCTACCGTATGTCAGGGTTTGGGGCTTACCGTAGGCTCCCTGAATTCTGGGGGTCCATCTTATCACCCAGACACTGACAGTTACCCTGCATCAAGCTCTGGCTGGAAATAAACACCACTGTACCATAACTGATTTTTCTGGGTGTAGCCTTCTGGGGAGTTTGGACACTGCAAATTGCCCTCCATTCCTATGGTATGGTATGGTGTAAGGAAGTTCGGTATTGTTAGTTAGTTGCCATCACGGTATGTGAGATGCATGTGTTATGGTCTCTAGTCGGATCCGGTTTAGGTAATAAACCTGCTACCTATAAGCAGATCCTACTACCCACACAATCCCATCCCATGCAACCAACTTGCAGGAAGGCATTATGCGCAAGGAATTTTGGTGGTGCATGTAATACCGTACATTCATTTAACGGAACCACGAAGTATACAAAATAATGTTCACATGGGACCACACCACACCACACCACACCATGGCAATGTGATAGCAATATGGCTTGAAGTATTCGCAAGTAGCAGTGACAGAAGTGCACAGAACTACTCGACCTTCTGCCCAACATGGTTCAGCAGTTAAAGACCCTTTCTCCCAATCCCCTACCATGCCACAGTCTTAACATTCCCTTCCCACCCTCCCCTCTCTCCCCATAAATACCTCCTCCATTCAGCAACACCAGCCTTCCCCGCCATACTAGCAAGGTACTTCTTTCGGCATTGTCTGCCTGAACAATGAACCCATTAGTCATTAACCCAATTGGCCCAAGTTTTTGTGACCAGAATCTTCCCATATTGCCTCCCTCACCTCACCACCCTCTCATCCTCTCTTGCTCACCCCGTTAGCCCCATCATCCCAATCACACCACCAAAGCCTGAACCCCCCCAAGCAGATTGCACCCCCCATGCCGGTTTCGGTGCAGCTGCTGCTGCTGCCTCCACTGCTGCTGCTGGCGCTGCTGCTGGCACAGCAACAGGAGCAACAGCAGGCACGGGCACAGCAGCCGGAGAAGGAGCAGGGGCAGGGGTAGCGGCAGGGGCAGAAGCAGCAGGGGGAGCAGCAGCCGGGCCACCAGTGTTTCCTTTCCTTCCTGCCCCCCTCTCCTGCTTCTTCCCAGAGGCACCTGGAGCAGCAGCAGGCACGGCGGCGGCTGCTGCGGCGGCGGCAGCGGCGGCGGCAGAGGCAGCAGCTGAGTTAGCAGCACCTGCCTGAATAGCAGCATACTCTTGGTGAACCTGAGGGGAGGGGAGGGAGCAGAGGAGGCGAGGGTTACGTTGAGAGGAAAAAGCAGAGGCAGCAGCAGAGTTGGCCGCGCCTGCTTGGATGGCAGCATACTCTTGGTGTACCTGATAGGGGGAGAGGGGAAGGGAGGCAGGGAGGATTCAATTGAGAGGGTATGGAGTATGAGATCAGTAGCAATAGCAGCGGAGGCAGAGGCAGCAGCTGAGTTGGCAGCACCTGCTTGGATGGCAGCATACTCTTGGTGTACCTGATAGGGGGAGAGTGGAAGGGAGGGGAGGGAGGGGAGGATTGAGTTGAGAGGGAAAGAGGGTGTGGGGCATGCGGCCTGGAGCGGCCAAGGCAGCAGCTGAGTTGGCCGCGCCTGCTTGGATAGCAGCATACTCTTGGTGTACCTGAATGGGGGGGTAGAGGGGAGGGGAGGGAAGGAAAGGTTTGAGACGGAAAGAAAGTGGAGAATGGGGCTGGAGCAGCAGGATCGCTGTAATCTCATTCTCACCTGGTGCAGCAGGATCGCTGTAATCTCATTCTCACCTGGTGCAGCAGGATCGCTGTAATCTCATTCTCACCTGGTGCAGCAGGATCGCTGTAATCTCATTCTCACCTGGTGCAGCAGGATCGCTGTAATCTCATTCTCACCTGGTGCAGCAGGATCGCTGTAATCTCATTCTCACCTGGTGCAGCAGGATCGCTGTAATCTCATTCTCACCTGGTGCAGCAGGATCGCTGTAATCTCATTCTCACCTGGTGCAGCAGGATCGCTGTAATCTCATTCTCACCTGGTGCAGCAGGATCGCTGTAATCTCATTCTCACCTGGTGCAGCAGGATCGCTGTAATCTCATTCTCACCTGGTGCAGCAGGATCGCTGTAATCTCATTCTCACCTGGTGCAGCGTGACGCCGATCTGCTGTAAGAAGTCGTTGACTGACGGCATGGGCGGCAGCAGTGCCACTGCCGACCGCAGCTGCGGCTTCTGCAGTGCTGCTTCCAGTGCCTCTGCCTCTGCCATCACCGATTGGACCTCAGAAACACGAGTCTGTTGTTGGGAAGGGGCAAGGGGCAAGGGGCAAGGCATAAGGGGGACAGGAGGGCATAGAAGGGGGCAGGTGAGCACGGGAGTGCAGCAGCTGGGGCTTCTGCAGCGCTGCTTCGAGCACCTCTGCCTCTGCCATCACTGACTGACTTCACCCACTCGGGTCTGTATGGATGGGTGGAGCAGAGGAGGGAATGAGAGGGACAGGATAGCATAAGGGGAACAGAATAGCATGGGGAGAGGGGCAGGTGGGCACAGGAATACAATAGGTGAGCCCCTCTGTGACCTGGCAAGAGCTTTTGAGTCGACTGAAAAGAATACCATCATACAATCACCCTGCACCACCCTGCGCCACCCTGCACCACCCTGCACCGCACTGCACCGCACTGCACCGCCCTGCCCCACCCTGCCCCACCCTGCACCACCGCACCTTGTGCATGTGCTCAATGGCTTGCAACGGCCTGGCGAGAGCTGCAGCCTGCCAAAGAGCAAAAGCGGGGAGGTAAGGGGAAGAAACATGGGAGAGGGGAGGGAAGGGGAAGAAACATGGGAGAGGGGAGGGAAGGGGAAGAAACATGGGAGAGGGGAGGGAAGGGGAAGAAACATGGGAGAGGGGAGGGAAGGGGAAGAAACATGGGAGAGGGGAGGGAAGGGGAAGAAACATGGGAGAGAGGAGGGAAGGGGAAGAAACATGGGAGAGGGGAGGAAAGGGGAAGAAACATGGGAGAGGGGAGGGAAGGGGAAGAAACATGGGAGAGGGGAGGGAAGGGGAAGAAACATGGGAGAGGGGAGGGAAGGGGAAGAAACATGGGAGAGGGGAGGGAAGGGGAAGAAACATGGGAGAGGGGAGGGAAGGGGAAGAAACATGGGAGAGGGGAGGGAAGGGGAAGAAACATGGGAGAGAGGAGGGAAGGGGAAGAAACATGGGAGAGGGGAGGAAAGGGAAGAAACATGGGAGAGGGGAGGAAGGGGAAGAAACATGGGAGAGGGGAGGAAGGGGAAGAAACATGGGAGAGGGGAGGGAAGGGGAAGAAACATGGGAGAGGGGAGGGAAGGGGAAGAAACATGGGAGAGGGGAGGAAGGGGAAGAAACATGGGAGAGGGGAGGAAGGGGAAGAAACATGGGAGAGGGGAGGAAGGGGAAGAAACATGGGAGAGGGGAGGAAGGGGAAGAAACATGGGAGAGGGGAGGGAAGGGGAAGAAACATGGGAGAGGGGAGGGAAGGGGAAGAAACATGGGAGAGGGGAGGAAAGGGAAGAAACATGGGAGAGGGGAGGAAGGGGAAGAAACATGGGAGAGGGGAGGGAAGGGGAAGAAACATGGGAGAGGGGAGGGAAGGGGAAGAAACATGGGAGAGAGGAGGGAAGGGGAAGAAACATGGGAGAGGGGAGGAAAGGGAAGAAACATGGGAGAGGGGAGGAAGGGGAAGAAACATGGGAGAGGGGAGGAAGGGGAAGAAACATGGGAGAGGGGAGGGAAGGGGAAGAAACATGGGAGAGGGGAGGGAAGGGGAAGAAACATGGGAGAGGGGAGGAAGGGGAAGAAACATGGGAGAGGGGAGGAAGGGGAAGAAACATGGGAGAGGGGAGGAAGGGGAAGAAACATGGGAGAGGGGAGGAAGGGGAAGAAACATGGGAGAGGGGAGGGAAGGGGAACGAACATGAGTGAGGGGAGAATGAAAATGGGAGGGAAGGAAATCAGAGAGGAAAGGAAGGGGAACGAATATGGGAGAAGTGGAGCTGAACTGTTTTCCAGGTGGCAAGTGAGAGATGCTTGAAGCAATTTAAAACGAGGTGTGGACAAGTGCCACCACCCAGAGCATGTGTTTAGAACGAGGTGTGGACCAGCCACCATCACACAGAGCATGTGTTGAGAATGATATGTGGACCAGCCACCACCACCCAGCAGCACGATAGGCCGTGGTGCAAAACCGCAACGACCCAGCAGCATGAGACCCCATTCCCCCACCAGGCGACTCACCAGCTGTGGCTTGCCCTTCAGAGCGTCCTTCTCAGCCTTCATCTTCTGTAGCTTCTCCTGGGAGAACTGCAGACGCTCGCCGGCTCTGATGGGGGGAAAGGTTAGTGGGGGGTGGGAGAGGGTTGGGGGGGGTGGGGCACGGTGTGAGGAAGAGCTCCGAGACTGAGCATCCTTCTCCCCCTTCACCTTCTGCATCTTCTTCTGTGAGAACTGCAGGCGCTCGCCGGCTCTGATAGCAGTAGTAGTGTTCAAACGGGAAGGGTGGGCAGGTGAGAGCATAGGAAGGGACGGGGAATAGGAAGGAGGGCAGGGGGTGAGGGCGGGCGTGGACGTGGAGGGGGGAGTGGGGGGAGGGAAGCGGAAGGAGGGTGGGGGGAAGGAAGGGTATGGAAAAGAGGGATGTGGCCAAGGTGTGGGAAGGCCACAGGGGAAAAATGGCACAAGGGCCAAGGCCAACCGGAGAACGACCAAAAAGGCTTACGATTTGAGCTGATCCAGCTTGGCATGCAGCAGAGTGGAGAGCGCACTGCGATGGCTCTCCACTGCTTGACCCTTGCAACGACTTGAGCATCACTGCTGAAACTAAAGGCTTGCATAACCGCTTGTGCAAAATGCCACAAGGGCAAAAGGCCAGAGGGGCTTACGATTTGAGCTGGTCCAGCTTGGCGTGCAGCAGGGCGGAGAGCGCACTGAGATGATTCTCCACTGCCTGCCCCACCACGGCCATCACTGCTGCCTCGCGGTCGGGGGCGCCCTGTGAGTGGGAGAGAGGGAGTGGAGGAGGGGAGGATCGGGGTGGGGTTAGGAGTGGGCAGGAAGGGGGAGAGTAGGGAGATAGGTTGGAAATCACAAGAGGGGGGAAATGGGAGGGGAGGGATTGAGTTGTAGGGAGGGGTGGGAAGAGTTTTGAGACGTCTCCAGAAAGTGAGCGAGTAAAACGGAGACGGAGGACTTGAGGGGACGGGGGTGGACAATAGGGGAGGGGAGAGGGTTTGGGGAGAAGAGACGCTTAGGCAGTGAGGCACAGCACTCTCACCCACTAAAAACAACCCTTATCACTCTTTTTCACTTTCTCCTTCACTCCTTTCTCTGTTTCTCTTGCTCTCACAAGGCCCTCTTCATCCACCCTCTCCTTCTTTCCTTCGCTTTTTCTCACCGAGAATGGACCTCCAGCGTGCCCTGGAAGGGGCATGTGCGGGCGCTGCAGCACGGACTCGAGAGCATGCACCACCCCCAGTTGCTGCGCACACCGCAGCTGGTGCAGCTGCTCTGGCGTCAGCTGCGGCCCCTCCTGCCCCTGCCCCTGCTGCTGCTCGGGTTGAACCGCTGCTACTGGCGCTACTGGTGCCGGGACCACGTTCTGGGCTGCTGCTGCGGGGGACTGGGTGGGGGGAACAAGAGGGTAGGGGAGAAAAAGGGAAGGAAAGGGGCAGGAAGAGGAGAAAACGGCAGGGGAAAGGGGAGGGAAGGAGGGAGGGAAGGAGGGAGGGAAGGGAGGAGAAGCAAGGGGAGGTAGCATGAAGTCATCAACAGACTCGACTCGAGAGCATGCACCACCCCCAGCTGCTGCGCACACCACAGCTGGTGCAGCTGCTCTGGCGTCAGCTGCGGCCCCTCCTGCTGCTGCCGCTGCTGCTGCTGGTCGGGTTGAGCCGCTGCTGCTGGTGCAGGGACTCTGTTCTGGGCTGCTGCTGCTGCTGCAGGGGACTGGATGGGGGGAGAAGGGGGTTAGGGGAGAGAAGTGGAGAGAAGAGAAGGGACGGAGAGGAGGAGAGACAAAGGAATTAATGGGAGCGAAGGGAAGAACTGGAGAGAAGAGGCGAGAAGGGGAAAGAAGGGGAGAGAAGGGAGAAGGAGAGCGAACAGGGGAGAAGGGGAGAGAATGGGAGAGAAGGCGAGAAGGGGAGAGACGAAAGGAGAGAAGGAGAGAAGGGGATCAACATTCAATCCAGCACCCTCAACGCCTCGTCCTCACGAATTTCTGACTCTGCCCCATTGGTTCTGCCTCTACTCCACTGTCTCTGCTTTTGACAGAGAGCTCACCTTTCCAACAGCACCACTGCCAGCAGCAGCAGCAGCAGAGGCAGCAGCAAAAGCCTATTCAAGCTGCTTCCTCCTAGCCTCTGAATCCATCCACAGCGACCGCAGCAACCTCGATGCCTCTGCTTCGCCATCTTTTTCCTTATACCAAACACAAGTCAACTTCGAACTTACCTTTCCGCCAGAACCGGCAGCAGTAGCAGAGGCAGCAGCTAGCACCTCCTCCAGCTGCTTCCGCCTCGCCTCTGCATCCAACCACAGCGATCGCAGCCTAGATGCCTCTGCCTCTGCAGCCTCCACCTGGCTCCTCAGCTTGCTACTCTCCACTGCTGCCTCTTCTAGCTTCCTCCTTGCCTCCTCCACTGCAGCCGCCCCTGCTGCTGCACCTGCTGCTGCTGCTGCTGCTGCTGCTGGTGCTGCTTTGCCCTTGTCTCCACCCCCCTTCTTCCCGCCCTTCTTCCCACCCTTGCCTCCTCCCCCTTGCGTCTCCCACCCGCCCTCCTCTGCTGCCCCTCCCACACCACCACTACCAGCCGCAGCGCCAGCTTTCCCACTCGCGCCTACTCCTGCAACCGCTGTTGTAACCAGCTTTCCTGCTTTCCCCTGAGCGGCTGAGCTAGGTGTCGGTGGGAGTTTTTTCCGACGGACGATCTCGGCTGTAAGGTCGCGCACAGACTGCAAAGCTTGAGCGGCAGCAGCAGCTGCTTCCGCTGCAGCAGGAGAGGCAGACTCGGCAGGGGACGGCGCTGGGGATTGCAGGCTGGAGAGAAGGAGGTTGATTCGCGACTCGGTGATGTTCACCAGCTGAGATAGCCGTCTGTAAGCGGAGAAGCAGAGGGGAAGGAAACAGGACAAGGAGGAGAGAGTGGGAGGGGGGGGCATTGGCTGGTGCTGGTACTGGGGATTGCAGGCTGGGGAACAAGCAGGGCAGAGCAGAACAGGGCAGAGCAGGGCAGGGCAAAGCAGAGCAGAGCGGAGCAAAGCAGAGAAGAGCAGAGATGAGCAAGGCAGAGCAGAGCACAGAAGAGCAGAGCAGAGCACGTACACGCCACGAGCTGCTGCTCCGCCCTCGTCTGCAGCCACCCCTGCTGCTGCGCCTCCCACTGCTGCTGCTGCCGCTGCTCCTCCTGCAGCAATCATCTGCAGCTGGTGCTCCATTGATGCGGCCTGGTAAACAGAGAGAAAGAGAGGCAGCAGTAAATGGGGAGGAATCGACATTTGCTAGTGCTGCTGCTGTCGCCGCCGCTGCTCCTCCTGCAGCAATGAGCTGCAGCTGATGCTCCATTGACGCTGCCTGGTCAAGTGCAAAGAGAGGGGAAGAGGGGGAGATTGGGGTCATCACAACAACTTCTGCTGCTGCTGCTGCTTTTGTGCCTGCCACTGCTCCTCCTGCAGCAATGAGCTGCATTCCGAAACTTAAACCCCAACCTTTCATCCGCACCCCCTTTGCCCTGCCCCCATTTCATTTAAGAACATTCGCTCAGCTCCCTTTTCTAAGCCTTTCTGCTTCAACCATGTCAGCTGCCGCTCCCAAGCCACGCCAGCATCACCAAGTTGCACGGCAATTCGCGTCACCGATTGATTGACTTTTGAGAATTCTCAAAAGTTCAATCAATCACCTGCAGCTCCCAAGCCACGCCAGCGTCGCCAAGCTGCACGGCAATTCGCTTCACCACCCACCCTCACCCTGTGCCTCTTCACTCTCAGCCTTTTCACCCCCCAGCCATTCCGCCCTCACCCATTCTGCCCCCAGCCCTTTCCCTCTCATCCCATCCCGCCCTCAGCCCATCCCATCTATAGCCCAGTTTGTCCCCCCGGACTCACCTTGGTCTGCATCTCCTGCAGCTTCGAGGACACACCCGCGTCCCCAAGCTGTGCTGCAATGCGCTCCACCGCCCACCCTGACCCGCCCAGCTGCATGCATGGGGACGGAGGGAGGTGAATGGAAGTGACACAGAATAACATGAGCCACAGGTGTGTGACAAGTAAAAAAAATAAAACACACACACACACGCACACACACACACACACACACACACACACACACACACACACACACACACACACATCACAGGCCCCCTGACCCGCCCAAGCGGGAAGAGGTGGGGAATATGAAATAAAACGGAATTTAAGATTGATACAGTAGCGTATGTGCAACGAGCTTTCGGGCGAAGAAAGTGCAGGTAAAAGCCTGAGAAGAAACAAAGAATGCGTTGACGGATGTAAGATGGGTCAACCACCCCCGTTACACGCACCTTCACTGCAGTCACAGCAGCAGCCAGAGCCTTAGCAGCTGCCCCACGCACATCCCCTCCCGCTGCTCCCTTGCCTGCAGATCCACCTGTGAGGCCCAGGGTGGCGCCTTCCTCGGATAGCACCTGAGAGAGGTCCGATGCCACCTGAGAAATCACCTGAGCCGCCTCCTGATGGCCCAGAGACACAGAGAGCAGCGCCTGGTAGTAGGCTCACATTTAAAAGAAGGGGAATGGAGGGGGAGCGAGTGGGAAAGGGGAGCGGGTGAGGGGGTCGGAGGGGGGAGAGGAAGGGGAGTTGTGGTGGATTTTTTATGGTGTTTCAAAGGGCGGACGGGAGGGGGGAGGTGGAAAAAGGAAGGTGGAGGTGACAGGGGAAGAAAATGCGGATCATATTAAATCCATCTGAAGGTGTGGCAGGCGGTGCAGAAAAGTGTCCCTTTTAAAAGGTCAATCTTTTCTTTCTTCACCCCAACTCTCTCCCCTCCCCTCCCCTCTCTCCTTCCCACTCCCCTCCCCATTCCCCTCCCCACGCCAATTGCAAAATCGTATCATATCAAATCTACCTGGAGGTGCGGCAGGTGGTGGGGATACAGAGGCAGTGTGATGCAGCTCTCAACCGTCTTCTCCAATGCTCGACTCCTCAAGAAGATCTGCCACAGAAAATTCAGAGAAGAAAAAAAAGGAATGTCACTTGAGAGGCTGAATCTAAATATATGATTTACAAAAACAAAAAAACAAAAAGAACACCCCAACGCGATTTTATAAGAAACAAGCTCATCACAACCCATAAATTAACAGTCGCAATGCCAGAAGCAGCACAAACAAGCGTTAAATCAAACCAACCATAATCCGTCCGCTGATGCACCTATCCCACGCACCTCCTTCCACGCCGTCGCAGTGCCAGGCGCGGGCAGTTGTTGCGCGCGCACAGTCCAGTCGTGCCACTGCCTCACCCGCGCCTCCGCATCCCTTCCGCACGCCTCCGCCGCCGCCTCCAGCGCCGCAGCTTCCGCGCTGATCGCTCCCCCCGCGCCCGGGGCAGGCACAGCAGCAGCGCCGATGTTCCCGCCACGCGCAGCTGGAGCCGCGCCGGCGGCGGCACCCGCGGATTTGGCCTGCTTTCCGCCTTTGCTCTTTCCGCCCTGCTGCCACGCCTCCTCCCGCGCGGTTTCCGCCCCCCATTCCGCCGGCATCAGGCCCCCCGTCTCGTACGCCTTGGGATCCTTGATTAGCGGAATTTCCGTGCCGGCCGCCGGCGGAGATGAAGGCGTAACTGCCGGCGCGGCGGCTTCTCCTGCCGGTTTGGAGGAGATCTCAGGAGCAGCGACTGCGCCATTGGCTGGTTCCTCCTCCTCGTCCCCCCAACGAGGCTGCCTCGCCTTTGCGCCTTTCCCCTTCTTCTTCTTCGCAGCGGAAGGTGCAGAGGCAGCTGCGGGGGAAGCTGCATCTGCCTGCTGGCCGATCGAAGCAGCGGCCGTGGCTGTTGGCGGTTGAGGTTCGGTTGGTGCAGGTTGAACCACCTCCGGCTCCTGCTTTTGCTGCTGCTGCTGAGGCTGCTGCTGCTGCTGCTGCTGCTGCTGGTCGTCTCCTTGAGATTGCTGCTGCTTCTTCTTCCGGTTTCGGCGATTCTTGGAGCCTCCGTCAGCACCACCGCCCGCGCCGCCTCCACCCGTCAGAAGGTCGAACGGATTCTGCACGTGAGCCATTTTCCGTGAAGTCGCAGTCTGGACCCGTCAACCTATGAAAAGTCCGGAGTTCCGAGCTGCAATGTCAGTGAATTTGTCCACGTGGATTGACAACGTGCTCCGAATCTATGAGAAAAAAACGGACTTTTTGGGCTTAGATCGGTTTAAGGTGAAGATAATGGCTTCCAGTCGAAAATGGATACCCGGTTCAGGAACTATTGAAACAGCACTCAGAATCTGACCAATCCCACCAATCCGTGAACCGCTTCACGCGAATTCGCAGATCTCACAGGCCTGCGAACCTCCTGATGGCGAAACGAGCTGAGAGGATCAGGCGATAAGACTGAATGGTGTTAGCAGGCCTGGGAGTGAGATTGACCTGATGGTGGTTGTTAGATTCTTGTGCTGCTTCCTGACCTGATGGTAAGAAATCCAGATGGATGTGAGAGAATGTCATGGTCAAGAAAACTCAAATCTCCGAGAATGTCAGGTTAGCTGGTCTTGGGAATGTTGTCACCATCCCGAGAAATCTATCGAGGGCGTATTTGTTTAGACCGACATTGCCTTGAGATTACTAAGCAGTCCAAGAACAAGCACGCACGAACGTCGCAAAAACATCTGCGAGCAGTTTTGTATTGCTAGACATGGCATTTAGCTGTTGCATCTGTGTGGAGTTTTGTTCGCAGTAATTCGTTTGTATGGGAACTGAAGTTCATCCGCGAATGATCCGGAGTGGCCGAAACCACACAGCAGTGAACCTCGCCAACTTCGATGAGTTAATTCCGAGAGTTACGGATGACGTCATTGAGATCCTGAGTCAACAACCCAGTAGTACAGTATCTGAAGGGGCGTGTACGGTTTCATTCTAATGATACAAAACAGTTAATTAAATACACTATTTACAAGCACAATGTCAAGCTTTAATCCCTACTTAGGTCACCTGTGTACTCGTATCATACTTTTCCACGAACCAGATTTTGGGACCACTGACTGCCGGCGGAGAGGATTTTTCACCTGGAACGGCAAGAGATGCTGTGGAGTTACTACCAGCTACTCTTCGAAGCACCATAACTGAGCTTGCCCCTTGTAACAAGGTTACCAGCAGCACAGCAGCAATGGAAGGCGCAAGGAAGACCCAAATGACTGCCACCCGCCGGCCCAAAAGCGTTTCATTCAGTCCACCCTCAAGGAAAATGCCAAACAATGCCTGACATTGCAAGGATGGAGAGAGAGGGGAACATGAAGGGGTAAATGTTAAGCCTAAAACGAGTTTTTGAAGTCATGGAGAGAGATTTGCTCCAAGTGACTTGAAAACACCTACCGTAACTACAATACCTGACCAGTTGTTGTGGGAGGCTTACTCATAGAAACAGTGAGCTACAGAATCACTAGCCTTACCCTGAAGGTGCTTACCCCAAGAGAAGCTAGCGCAGCAACGTGGGAGGTGATAAGGGCGATGGAGAGGAGGGAGGAGGAGAGCGAGAGGGAGATGATGACGGAGGCATGTGAGCGGAGCAAGAGGAGGGAGGTGCGCAGGGAGGAGGAGAAGCCTTCCCCCATTGCTGCTGCGATAGGCAACACGAGTCTGGTGCGATAAGCGGTTGGAGAACACACGACACAAGCACACCGCACACCGCACACACATGCAAACAAACACAAAACCAGACATGCAAGCCAAGACCCATGCACTCCCGTGAACACAGAGACACACACATACACACATACACACACACACACACACACACACACACACACACACACACACACACACACATGCACACACACATGCACACACACACACACACATAGACATGCACAAGAGCAGATACAGAGACACAGAAACACAAACAGACACATATGTACACTGAAGATGCAAAGCCATACGAGAATTGCCTTTATACATAAGAGTAAGCGAAGACAAAAGGAGGCGCGGGGAGAAAGAGGGATAGGAAGATGTCACCCTCTAAGAGCAGCAAGGGCAAAAAAAGGGAGCAACACCTTCTAAGAGGGATAGGAAGATGGAATGGAACCCTCTAAGAGCAACACAACTGAACTAGCCATGAAAACTAGACAAGAAAGCACGTGAGAAAGTATTTCGTCGCGTAACTTGTTGGTTTTTGAGTCGACTCAAAAATCGTAACTTGTTGGTTTCTGGTCGGTCGAACCGAGCTTGCTGCTCTCTATCCGTTTCTCATTTTGAGAGTGTATTGAATCACGTACCTTGTAAAGAAGGCGAGCAAGGGTGTGACACAAACGAGGGCCAGCACTCTGGTTAGCGTGAGAGAAGCAGATGCGGGCATGAGGCGACGGTCGTCCACAGAGGGCGAGGTGGAGGAGGAGAACTGGGAGGAGGAGGATTGAGAGGAAGAATATTGTGAAGAAGTTGAGAGGAATGGAGTGGAGGGGAGGGAGGAGATGAGGGAGGAGAGGAGGACGGGAAGGGTGAGAGCGAGGGAAGTGGAGAGTGTGAGGATGAGAGCGATGGTGGTGATTGTTCCAAGAGATGCGAACAGAGCGTGCCTGCAGTGGTGAGGTAAGGGAGGAGACGGGTGGAAGAGAGGAGAGAAGGGGTTAAGGGGAGAAGGGGGTGAGAGAGACGGTGTTGATGGTTTCTGAGGCGCCTCAAACAAGGGGGCGAGAGAGACAGTGGTGATGGTGCCGAGTGTTGCGAACAGAGCATGCGCGTAGTGGTGGGGTTGAGCATCAAACATTCTGCTCTTTGAACGCCGCAAAAAAAACAAACAAACAAACAAACAAGAACCAACCGTATTGGTAATGCTGAGGAACCCGGCCTGTTCCATGCAAGAAGCTTCCTCTCCTCCACAGACCCACACAAGTCATCACTGGGAAAGCGCCCCGAAGATTCCTCTTCCATTTGCTCTCGGCCCATCCCTCCCACCCGCCCTGCTGCTTCTTCTGGTGCACCCCTGTCAAACGATGTTTCAGTTGTCTCAGAAAGAGGCGGGTTAATGAAAATACCCTCCTCGAACGCCTCACTGCTAGCCGCCACTGCAGCAGCTGCCCCCCATCGCACTGCCGCTGCTCCGGCTTCAGCACCATTCCCTCTGAAGCTGCCTCGATCACTCCTTGATGTGTTATCTAGGGCACCCTCCTCAAACGCCTCACTGCCAACCGCCACTGCAGCTGCGAACTGCACTGCCATGACCACACTGACGGCCAGCCACAGACTTGCCAGCTGGCCGGCTGTTCTGACGGCCAGATGGATCCAGAGGGGGAGATGGCAGGCAAGGGCGGAGAGGAAGTGAGTGAGGGAGGGGAGGAAGGTGGAGGGAGATGGGGTGGGGGTGGTTATGGCGCTGTGGGTGGAGGAAGAGAAGGAAGAGGAAGAGGAGGAAGAGGAAGAGGAAGAGGAGGAGTGAGGGATGTAGGTCATTTGAGCCGATATGAACCCAGCACCAGCACCCCATGCTCCCTCCTGCTGCTCCTCCTTCTGCTGCTGCTGCTCCTGCCTCTGCTCCTCTTTCTCATCCCCTTCCGCCCCCTGCTGCTGCTGAGCAGCTAAGGCAATTGCAGCTCTATCCATGGAAAGGAAAAAAGAGGGGCAGTGGGCAGGGAGCAAGGGGGAGGAAAGAGATGAGGCCTGGGAGGGTGGTGGTATCAAGGGTCCTTGGAGGGTGGAGGAGGAGGAAGGAGAGAAGGAAAAGGAAAAGGCCGAGACAAAGAGTGGTGTGAGGAAGCTTGCAAGAACCGTGAGGAGGGCGATGAGGGAGACGAGGGCGCGGGCTGGGGAGCGGCGGTGGGAGAGAGATAGGGCGGAGTGGGAGGTGGTGCTGACGGCTAAGGCATAGTGGAAACGGGGGAGGCGGGGGGTAAGGTGGGGATGCTTGGAGGGCCGCGGGAGATGGGAGGAACGGGGAAGGTGGGGAAGGTGGGGGCGATGGGAATTGATAGGGGAGGTGGAGGGGAGAAACTGGATGGTGGGAAGTTGGGAGTGGGACGAGGAGGGTGTGGAAGTATCAAGTGGTATGGAGGAAGGAGGGAGTTGGAACGGCAGAGCGTGAGGAGATGTCAGATAGGGAGATGAATCTGCATGGGATGACTGCTGCTGGAGGCTGGATGCTGCGGATTTGGGAAACGAGTCCGAAAGAGACAGCGGCTGCTGCTGCAGCTCCTTCTGTGACTGCTGCTGATTCTGCTGCTCCTGCTGCTTCTCCTGTTCCTCGCATTCCTCCTCTTCCTTTCTCCTCCCCTTCTCACTCACTCCCCCTCCTCTCCCAGACCCCAGCCCCAGCAGCAGCAGCAGGGAGGCAGCAAGAATCAGAACAAGCACTGAGAACACCACAACCCAGGTGCTGCTAACTTCCAATGGCTCATACCATGTACCGTACCAATCCCATAACGAGGACAGAGGAGAGAAGTGGCGGAAGGAGGTGTAGCGTTTGTAACCAGTACCAGCAGCACCACCAATTGCACCATTACCACCATATTTTCCCCCCATTCTCCATTTTCTCCTCCATCCCCCAACCACTCGACCTAATCCCCGTCCCTCTAACCCTCCTCCTTCCCCCATCCCCACTCCCCCTCCCCCTCCCGCTCCCCCTTCCCTCTCCTCCTCACTCTCCTGAAGCAAGGTCAGTAGGGAGGAGAGAAGACGAAGGGGTCGAAGCGGGGCGAGGAAAAAGACAAACTGGTAGGCGGCAAATCCGCCTGCCAGCAAGGCGAGAGATCCTTCGAGTGGCGTCACATAGCAGATAAGGACAGAAAGTGCCGCCCCTGCGATTTGTGGTATGAGCTTGTTGGCGCTGGGAGAGAAGGACTGGGAGGAAGGTTCCAGGGAGGGGGAGGTGGTAGGTTGGAGGAAGAAGGAGAAGAGGGCGTGTACGGTGACAAATGTCACTGTAACGGATGTGCCTATAACGAAGATGGCAGCGACCAGAGTATCGCGGGGTTGGCGATTGCAAACCTGTTTGAAACGGATAAAATTCGGTGCCACGTCAGCAGCACCTCTTAATCTCCCTCTGTCCCCACCACTGCCACGTAGACCACTTGAACTCTCAGCCACGTCATCATCCTTTCCAAGATTCTTGGGGCCAATAGCATTCTCGTTAGCTCTGAGCTCAGGTGTCGCCTCCAGAACAGCTCTTAATCTCCATATACGTTCAATAAACGAGAGCCAAGGCTGTATCTTCCCAGGTGCTTCCTCAGGTGTTTTCCCAGGTGTTTTCCCAGGTTTTTTCCCAGGTGTTTTCCCAGGTGTTTTCCAAGGTGTTCCAGGAGTATGTACAAGAGCAGCCTCTTCACAATCGAACCAGGAAACAGCCTCCCCCTCCTCCAACCTTCTTCGTTCTTCCTCCTCGGTTTCCTCCTCCCCTGCCCCCCTAGCTTCCCTGCTCTCCTCTCTGCCCTTTTTCTGGTAGCACACGCCCGTCCCGGTCCTCTCTCCCTCCTGAATCTCCTCGCTTCCGCCCCGCTCTCCTCTCTCTCCTCGCTCTGCTCGCTCCTCTCCCATCCTTTTCCTGACTAAGATTTCTTACAAGTGATTAGACAGCCTTTTCGTTAACCTATAGCCTCGTTCCTCTCTCTCTTTTCTCTCCTCCCTCTTTCTCGCTCTCGCTCCCCTCCTGCTTTTCCTTTCAATTCCCCTCGAAAATACTCAACCCCTCCCGCGAGAAAGCGAATGGAGAATCCGAGAGCGAATGGAGAATTCGAGAGAAAAAAAATCCCCTCTGCTAGCCTAGCGGACCCCTTATTGTGAGCGAGGGGGAACGGGGAGGGGGCGCGGGGGAAAGCGGGGTCCGGCGGAGATATTTCCGCGCCGACGGGAAGGACTGGAGGAAGCGGAGCGACTGGAAGCGAAAAAAATTGATAGAGGGACAGGTTTCGAGTAAGCGTTAGAACCGAGGGATGGAGAAAGAGGAGACTCGCAGAGAAATGGTGAAGGGGAAGGAGAAGTGGGAGTTCGGAGGACAGGAAAAATGGTAATACGGTTGGAGACACTCGTTCCCAGTGTGCGTGGGCTTTCTGGCAACTGCAAGCGAACATCATAACACCCTGCTGATGACCTGCTGAGCTAAAACGAGCTTGTTCCATGCTCTTCAAACCGAACAGAACCGTCCTGAGCCATGAAGAAAGTACTGTCAACGTTTGAGTTGGAATTTTCCAAAAACATACAGCAATATATAAATGTATAAATATGTATATTGTCTGTTTGATTTGTGTGAGCGAAGTGCTCTGGGAACGGAGCCCTCCCCTAAACTGGGATACAATCCATTTCCCCAAAAGTCAAGATTGTAACAAAAATATCACATTTCTAAATCTGATGTGATTCGCGCAAATGGGAGATATGAAACCATCAAAATCCTAGCCACCATACCACTGGGATAAATGGGCTTGTTAAGTAGAGGGTGTCAGATGGATAATGAATGGATTATGCAGCAGGGTGATGTCAAAACATTATATGCTTTCTATATTTCTAGGCTATGCAGGGGTTATCCTTAGAGGGTACAACACTTTTCTCGACACTCTTGTACCCCCCCCCCCCCCCCTTACCTAATCGACCATCACTTTCTCGCTACTTCTAACATGGTTTCAGAGTCTAGGTACCTTCCTACTCCGTTCCTAGTGTTCTTGGGCCCACCATGCTAGGTTATAACTGCCCGTAGCGTGCTGCCCTGATAGCGCACTGTTCGTTTTGCCCCACGAGTGCCCTTAGTGCTGCCGCATGCGCTGTTTTTCGTGCTGCCCCTCTAGCGCGATCGCGCTGTCCTGCCCCACCCGCAATCGCGCTGCCCTGCCCTGCCCGCGATCGCACTGCCCTGCCCTGCCCGCAATCGCGCTGCCTGCTGCCTAGTGCATTGCCCGCCCGCGAGCGCTCTGCCCTGCCCGCAAGCGCCACTGCGCCCCTGCCCGTGAGCGCTGCCCGCCAGCAGCCTGCGCCCGGCCTGCGCCCTGCCCGCGCGCACCCCACCCGCACTTACGCGCACCCTGTATGCACCCTGCCCGTCCGCGCTGATGCGCGTTGCTGCTGCTGCTAAGCACTGCTGCTGCTGCACATTGCTGCCAAACGCGCTGCTGCCACCTGAGCTGCTGCTGTCGCCTGCGCTGCTGCTGCCACCTGTACTGCTGCTGCTGCTGCTGCTGCTGCGCTGCTGCGCTGCTGCTGCCGCCTGAGCTGCTGCTGCCGCCTGCGCTGCTGCTGCCACCTGTGCTGCTGCTGCTGCACTGCTGCTGCTGCTGCTAAGCTGCTGCTGCCGGCTGCGCTGCTGCTACTGCTGAGCTGCTGCTGCTGCCGCCTGAGCCACGCTGCCCTGCCCTGCCCTGCCCTGCAGCCCGCGCGCTGCGCTGCCCTGCCCTTAGGCCCGCGCGCCGCCCTGCCCTTAGAGCTGCGCTGCCCTGCCATGCAGCCCGCGAGCCGCGCTGCCCTGCCCTTAGGCCCACGCGCCGCCCTGCCCTGCAGCTGCTGGCGCTACTGCTGCTACTGCTGCCACTGCTGCTGTTACTGCGCTAGCCCATGCCCTGCTTCCCTCGCACCCTACTGGCCTCCACAGCCACTCCAACAGTCGCTCATGCTGTTAGAGCCACAGAGACCACCGCTACTGCTACAGCTGCAGCTACAGCAGTCGCTACTACCGCCCTTGCGCCGCTGCTACTGACTGCCACTGCCTGTCATGGCCACTGTCACGGTCGTAGCAGCGTCTAGGGGTGGACAACAGCAGCCGCTGCCTCACCCAGACACTCTATCACAGCAGCAGCTTCGCGAGTGGGTTATTCAGCGAGGCCGTCCTGGTGGTGGAGGTTATCGTGCTGGAGGTGTTGAAGGTGCTGGACAGCAGCGGCAGCCCACGCACCCCGACACTCTCTCGCCACAGCAGATTCGTGAGTGGATCGTTCAGCGAGGCCGTCCAGGTGGTGGAGGTTATGGTTTTATGGGTACTGGACAGCGGCGGCAGCAGCGTCAGCATGAGATCTTCTCCCCGCAGCAGCTTCGCGACTGTGTTTCTCAGCTAGGCGTCCCTGGTTGTGTAGAGGCTTCTGCTCTAGGTGCTAGTGAGTCTGCTGCCACTCTAGGTGCTAGTGAGTCTCCTGCAGCTCTAGGTGGTAGTGCGTCTACCGCCACTGGTCTTGCCTCAGCTGAGGCCTTGCACACTTTCACACTTGACTCAGGCGCGTCACGTTGCTTCTTTCGCGATTGCACCACAGTCACACCGCTCGCAGCACCTGTCCCAGTCTCACTGGCTGACCCCACTGGGGGCCCAGTAGTAGTGCGAGCCTCCACTATCCTCCAGTGTCCGGCAGTCCCCTCCGGCTCTCTTTCAGGTCTCCACCTCCCCTCGTTCTCGACGAACTTGGTGAGCAACGCAGTCCTTTAGGATGTATGGGTTGATACCTTTATCCCTGGAGGACAGCGAGTGGCGATCTGTACGTGCTCCCTGACTGGCCGTCACCTTGCTACGTTCACTCGGCGGCCTGGGTCCAGTCTGTACACACTGACCTCTGCGTCTGCCCAGGTGCATGCGTCAGGTCAGGTGGCTGCGTCGAGTCAGGTGTCTGCGTCTGGTCAGCTTGCAGCGTCTTGCTCATGTCGGGTACTTTCCCAACAGACTCTCCTCTGGCACCACCGACTCGGTCACCCCTCTCTGC